AGGTAACTGTTTTCTAACTTAGATAGTAAATAGCAGCGAATGACCATGCAGGCGTAATTTTTTTTTTTTCCTTTCAAGACAGGGTTTCTCTGTAAAGCTTTGGAGCCCCTAATGGAACTCGCCCCGACCACACAAGAGATCAGCCTCCCTCTGCCTCCCAAGTGCTGGGATTAAAGGCATGTGCCACCAACCACCCAGCACTCAGGTTTAATTTTTAAAGAGATTGTGGGTTATGGAGAGGGAAGAGAAGAGGAGAGGTGGGGAAGGGGAGAAGGGAGAAGGGTTGGGGAGAAGTAGCAGCTGCTTCTCCAGAAGGGGAGGGAGAAAGGGGGGCAGGAAGGAGATCTGCTTGCCTCAGTGAAGGGAGGGTGGGGAGAGTTGGGAGTGGGAGGCGCTTATCTCTTAGGGGACAGGGTACCCAGGTGACTAACCAGGCCAGCAGATTGCAACATCCACTGCCCTACTGTTCAGGATATCATGCATGTTCTTCTGTTCTGTCTTCCTATCTCTTATCTTCACTTTTTTTTTTTTGAGACAGTATTGTAAAGTTTTTGTGACCCAATAAGCCTCTCTGCCACTGCAAGAATTCAAATCAGGGCCGGGCGATGGTGGCGCACGCCTTTAATCCCAGCACTCGGGAGGCAGAGGCAGGCGGATCTCTGTGAGTTCGAGACCAGTCTGGTCTACAAGAGCTAGTTCCAAGACAGGCTCCAAAGCCACAGAGAAACCCTGTCTCGAAAAACCAAAAAAAAAAAAAAAAAAAAAAGAACTCAAATCAGACCAAATCAAACAGAATTAGAAAAAGCCCAGGTTTATGGATACCTTCCAGCACTTTAAAGAGGAAAGGAGATGGGGAGGGAAGACTGGAATACGTTTGTTCTCTGGGGGGCAGTTTAAATACCCTCTGGGGAGGGGTCATCATTTGGCGGGCTTTCTCAGAGGTGAAGTCTGACTGAAGCAACTCCCAGGGGAGGGGGCATGAGATGGAACTTCCACCCAAACACTCCAGACTCTTTAGGTATATGGATGCAGGGACTGGGGTAAAGCCTTAACCCAAACAAGAATCTCACTACATAACCCTGGCCAGTCTGGAACTCAGAGATGTGTCTGTTTCTGCCTAAGGTACAGGCTTGAAAAGCATGTGCCTCCACACTCAGGTTGTTTTTTTTTTCCCCTTGCTTTTTCGAGACAGGACTTCTTTGTAGCTTTTGAAAGCTGTAGTGGAAGCCAAGAGGTGGTGGCACACACCTTTAACCCCAGCTCTCAGGAAGCAGAGGCAGGCAGAATCTCTCTGTGATTTTGAGGCCAGCCTGGTCTACAAGAGCTAGTTCCAGGACAGGCTCCAAAGCTACAGAGAAACCCCGTCTTGAGAAACTTCTCCTGGAACTCACTCTGTAGACCAGGCTGGCCTCGAACTCACAAGAGATCTGCCTGTCTCTGCATTCCAAGTGCTGGGATTAAAGGCCTGTGCCACTACCACCTGGCTTTTATTCATTCTTATTGAGGGTCTTATCCAGGTCTTGTTTTATAATATTTTTATTTATTTATTTATTTTTTGTTTTTTAAAACTTTTTCTGTGAAACAGTCCTGGCTGTCCTGGAACTTGCTCTGTACACCTGGCTGGCCTCAAACTCACAAAGGTCCTCCTGCCTCTGCTTCCTGAGTGCTGAGATTAATGCGTGCACCACTACCGCCTGGCTACTTTTATTATTTTTAATTATGTGTATGTGTGTGTCTGTGACTGTGTTGCATTGTGCAAGTGAATGCATGTGCCATGAAGGCCAGAGGCCCTGAACTGGAGTGACAGGCAACTGTGAGTCTCCTGATATGGGTGCTAGGAACTGAACTCAGGTCCTCTGCAGGAGTAATGGATACTCTTTTTTTTTTAAGATTTATTTATTTATCATGTATACAACATTTCTTCCATGTATGCTTGCATGCCAGAAGAGGGCACCAGATCTCATTATAGATGGCTGTGAGCCACCATGTGGTTGCTGGGAATTGAACTCAGGACCTCTGGAAGAGTAGTCAGCGCTCCTAACCTCTGAGCCATCTCTCCAGCCCAGTAATGGATACTCTTAACTACTAAGCAATTTTTCTACTTCCTCATTGATGGAGGAAGGTCATTGGTTAAATAAAAAGAAACTGCTTGGCCCTCATTGGTTTGAAGATAGGTGGGAGGAGTAAACAGAACAGAACGCTGGGAGGAAGAGGAAGTGAGCTCAGACTCCACAGCTCTCCTCTCCGGAGCAGACGCCTCAGAGAGAGACGCCATGCTCCCAGCTCCCAGGCAGACTCATGTGATGAAGCTCCGACCCAGGATGGACATAGGCTAGAATCTTCCCGGTAAGCGCACCTAGGGGCGCTACACAGATGATTAGAAATGGGCTAAATTAATATGTGAGAATTAGCCTAGAAGAGGCTAGATAGAAATGGGCCAAGCAGTGATTAAATGAATACAGTTTGTGTGTTGTTATTTCGGGTAAAGCTAGAGCTAGCCGTGTGGGCGGCTGGGTGCCGGGGACGCAGCCCCGCCGCCCTTAATACTACACCTCATCTCCTGGCTTACAGGCAAGCCTCCCTTCTCTTTAGCACCCCTGCCATATCTAATGATCTCCCTCCTACCATGAGGTCTGATCACGGTCTCAAACTCTGACTCCTAGTAAAATCTCATTCATGAAGAGTATTATTTGTCAACTTCCTTACCTAGGCTGACCTCAATTTCTTTTCTTTTCTTTTCTTTTTTTTTTTTTTTGGTTTTTCAAGACAGGGTTTCTCTGTAGCTTTGGTGCCAGTCCTGGAACTAGCTCTTGTAGACCAGGCTGGCCTCGAACTCCCAGAGATCCGCCTGCCTCTGCCTCCCAAGTGCTGGGATTAAAGGCGTGCGCCACCATTGCCCGGCTCCTCAATTTTATTGTATTGCTATTATTATAGTTAGTTAACACATTGTAAGACCCTGTTTCAAACTTCTCCCACTCAACAACAAACCAATCAGTTATTTATACAGATTGATTTGTGTATAATTCTCTCTCTCTCTCTCTCTCTCTTTCTCTTTTTCTACAGCGTTTCTTTATGTACCGTTGGTTGTGTTGGAACTTGCTATGTAGACCAGGCTGTCCTTGAATCCGGTGGTCTGCCTGCCTCCCAAGTTCTGGGATTAAAGGCGTGCGCCACCACTATTCACCTGTATAATTCTTTAAAATTCACATATTTTAAAATTCAACTGAAGTTTAGGAAGATTGGCTGCATTACCAGGTTACTAAATGGTGGAGCTAAGTTTCACATAGCCCTCTGGACAACTTTATAGTGAGGTTTTTGAAAGACCGAGTAGGAATTCACTCCATCAGTTCGATAAGGGTATCTATTATGTGTCAGTCCAGTGAAAGGCATGGGGGATCAACAACGATCTCCAGCCAATATGACTCACCTCTTACGGCTCCAGCTTTGCCCTTTCTGCTTAGCTAAGAAACCCTGCATCCTCATCACTCTCTGTTGCTGCACCTTCCTTGCTCTTTATCTCCATAGCAACTACCATGTTTCCAAAGGGCAAGTCGGATTTTCCTTCCTACTGTTGCCAAGTTGAGACCCCCAGAGACACCACCGGAATCCAATCAAGTCCAGAATGCAAAAGCAAGGTTTATTCTCCAGCCAGGCTGGGAGTTCATCCATTACGTACAACGCAGCGCAGTAGAGAAAGCTCCCTTCCTCATTTGGGGTTGACTTATATAGGCAAAAAACACAAGCGGGGTTCATTTTGGATCAAGGGGGTTGGTCTTGCTAAATGAAGGATGGGGGCTACTTCTGCACACCCCCTTCCTCCTTTAAGTGGCAGCTTCTGCTTCTGTGCATGCCCCCCTCCCCAAGCAGTTATGTCTGCTTCTGTCTAGACCACAAAGCTGGGTGTCAACAGGTAGGGTTAGCTGCTAGGAACATCTTGGGAATCTTTTGGTTTTTACTTGAACCCAGTATCCTAACCAGCTCTTGATCTTGCAAAGTTTTTAAAATTTTCCATGTCCTTTCACTACCCCAAGTTTTCTGCTCCAATGGGACAATCACCATGCTTTTTCATCATGGTATCCCCATCCTTCCAGAGAGGTAAGGAATGGGAACTCAGTAAAAAGGGGCTGAGAGATGGTTACTTGGACAGCAGTACTTGCTGTCAAATCCACAAGACTTGAGTACAAATCTCCAGCACCCTTGTAAAAAGCCAGAAACAGCCCTGAAGGCCTGCACCGCGGGGTTCGGAGACAGAGACTGGTACCTTAGGAACTGTCTGGCCAGCCGTTTCTGTTGAAACAGATTCAGTGAGAGACCCTCTCTCGAGGAAGGTAGACAAGGAGAGACCTCACCAAGGTCCTCCTTTGCCTACCACTGGCAATCACCACACACATGCACACATATACCTCTCCAACGCTACCGCATAAACTCACAAATAACACACACACGTATGATATATACACACATGTATGTACACACACAACAAATGTACACACTTTTATTCTTAAAATGTTCGCGGACACACACAAAACATGTATGTATACACATACACACAACATGTATGTATACACGCACATATATATTTTTACTTATTTACTTCTAGAGAGCTTCTCATTTTGTTGCCTAAGTGGCCTCAAATTTGCTATTCCCCTGCTTCACCCTCCTCAGGTCCGGAATTTCAAGTCCAGGGAAAAAAATCTCTAGATCAAGTCAAGCGGTGTTCGAGGTCACCTCGTTCTACAGTGCGAGTTCCAGGACTGCCAGAGCACAGGAAAAACCCTAACCAAAAACCAAACCAAAACAACAACAAAAATCTGTTGGTCAACCAGGGGTCAGAACAGTTTGGCCAGTGTTTGTGGGACTTTGTGAGCAACACCACTTCCTGCCCCCAGACAGCCCGGAGGCCTTCAGCCTCCGTCCCGCCCCGCCCCGCCCCGCCCCTGCCTTGACGCAACTCTGACGCAGGCGCAGCGGCGCGCGCTGTTTCCGGAAGTGTCCTGGCCGTCTGTTTCGTGGCCGCCTCCGACACCTGGGTAGCTGTTCTTTGCTGTGGAACTCTGCGCGTGGACCGGCGTCGGCCTGGGCGGGGCCAGGGTTCCGTCTGCGCCGCAGAATGGAGATAATCCGGAGCAGTGCGTGTCTGCCGTGTCCCCCCTCCCTTGTCCCCAAGCCCACCCAGAGTGCTAGGCCCAGACCTCGTGTGCTTGGCGGAACCCGGGGCCAAGTCAGTTCTGCTGCTGGGCTTTGCATCCTTGTCCCTCTGCGAACCGTGCACCCTTGGCACGCTTGCCGCTCTTCCCCGTGCACCTCCTCTGGCCTACCCTTCTCAGTCGTGCACACTTGGGGGCTTGGACTCTTCTGCCTAGCCACCCCTAAAGAAGTTGTCTCTCTTCGGTCCTTGCAGACCTTAGGGACTTGTCCGTCTTTTCCGTGGCCCTGGGCGCTCTTCCGGACCCTTCTCTCCCATCTCCTTTTAGTTGGTGGGCTAGAAGGCCGGCCATCTATTCTGAACCTCTTCTTGGTTTCTCTGCAGATTTTAAGATTAATCTTCACAAAGTGTACCAGGCCATAGAGGAGGCTGACTTCTTCGCCATCGATGGGGAGTTTTCAGGTATCACTCCCTTAAAAGCTCGGGGTTTACACCTTGTATGGCTAAGGCTCCTTTTGTAATCTTGCTAGTTTTGGCAAAAGCGTATGAGAGATGCAGTGGTTCTGTGATTAGTCAGACTGAAGTTTGTGGAAACAGATTGTGGTTCTGGCACTGCTTAAAACAATTAGGTGTTTATGGTTAAAATGCAGAGGGCTGCTGGGCGGTGGCGGTGCACACCTTTAATCCCAGCCCTTGGGGGGCAGAGGCAGGCAGATCTCTGTGAGTTCGAGGCCAGCACATTTCCCCAGCCCTATTTCAGTTATTATTAAGTAGTTTTGCAATTTGGTGGCATTAATTACACACATGCTGAGATGCAGTCGGCGCTGTCTATCTCTGGAATTTTTTTCCTTTAATCTTAAACAGACACACTACTCAAGGAATTATCCATTACCTCCTTTGCCTCTGTCTGCCATCATTGATTGTGTCTTGGATTGTGGCCACTCTAGATACATCATGTAAATGGTATTTTGTGACTTGCCAGGGCCACACTTGAACGGCAGATAAGGATATTACTAATGCTTTAGTAGCTCAGTAGATACATGTGTGCGTGAATATGTCTTTAAGTATGTGTACATCCATGTGCATGAGCAGAGGCTAGAGCTCAACATTCATTGGTTGTTTTCCTCAAACTACGTTTTTTTTTTTTTTTTGGAGATAGCATCTCTTACTGAACCTGGAATTCAGTGATTCTCCTTGATTGGCTGTCTGGCTGATGTGCTCCAGGGATCCACTATCTCTGCATCCACAGTGCTCCATGTAGCTGTTTGCATGGGTTCTGGGAATTCCAACTCAGGTCCTCATGCTTACACAGCAAGCGTTTTGCTGACTGATCCATCTCTCTAACCAAACCCCAATTATTATTTTTCTTTGAATGTAGGAATCCAGCTCAGGCCCTCTCATGTGCATGATGAGCAAGCACTTCTACCAGTTAGCTACACCCAGCGCACACATTAATGTTAATTTTAAAAAAGTGTGATATACACACTTGGAATTAATTTTAAATAACAGGGATATGAATCGGCACTGAATGAAGACTCTAGCAGAGGCAGTTTTATAATGAACCCAGTCCTTGTTTGTTATCATCCAGGAATCAGCGATGGACCTTCCGTCACTGCATTAACAAGTGGTTTTGATACCCCAGAAGAGCGATATCAGAAGCTTAAAAAGGCAAGTGGATATGCTCAGATGTCTTTCTCTCTGCCATGTGGCTCCTGCTGTTGAATTATGAAAGGGTGGAATCATTAAACTTACACTTTCGTATTTTGTAGGTGAGGTGTATCTTCTTTTTTTTTTTGTTTTTTTTTTGAGACAGAGTTTCTCTGTAGCTTTGGAGCCTGTCCTGGCACTAGCTCTTGTAGACCAGGCTGGTCTTGAACTCACAGAGATCCGCCTGCCTCTGCCTCCCGAGTGCTGGGATTAAAGGCGTGCGCCACCACCGCCCGGCTTCTTTTTTTTTTTTGGAGGTGTATCTTCTTAACACCAGCCACAAAATAACATTTTAGTGATGTTTAAAATAGCAAAAGTTATTGTTTGTTGGAAAAAATTCTGAGTAAGGGCTATTATTTCTTAAAATTAATTTGATGTGTAAGAAATAAATATGTAGTTGTAATAGTTTGGAAATAGGCTTAATGCTATGCTCTGGCGATGGTAGATAGCTTCTTAGTTGGGAACAAATTAAGAACTGTGTATAAATGAATAAGACTACTGATGTATAACTTGCACAGTCTGTTCTGCTGAAGTTATGTTGAGTGATTCAGAAAGGCTTCAGATTGAGAGTATTTGCTCATGTCAGATATATGACTCTCTTGTGATTGATTTTTTTTTTTTCCTTTGCCAGCATTCTATGGACTTTTTGCTGTTTCAGTTTGGCCTTTGCGCTTTTAAGTATGACCACACAGATTCCAAGTAGGTTGTCTTAATAGTTGGGAATTCCTAAGCTGTCTCCAAATATCACCCCTAAGTGTCCTTTTCTCTTATTTTCCCAGGCATATAACGAAGTCGTTTAACTTCTATGTTTTCCCCAAGCCTTTCAGTAGGTCCTCACCGGACGTCAAGTTTGTTTGTCAGGTTAGTAGTGGAACTGCACTTTTTCTACTTATGAAATGCTGTTGGGATGGAGTGGAAATGAAGAATTCCTGTAGATTTAGCTCTAGGGCTGAGCTGTAGGTCAGTTAGCAGAGTGCTTGCCCAGCGTGAATGATGCCCTGGGTTCTATCTCCAGGACCACATAGGGTGCGTGCCTGTGATAACAGCCTCAGTAGGGAGGTGGAGGATCAGAATTACCTGGTGAGTTTGAGGACAGTCTGGGCTATATAAGATCCTGTGTCATCCCCCACCCTGCAAAACAACAAACAGACAAACAACTAAACAAAACCATAAAACCAAGCAACAAGATTTAGGCATTGAATAAGTTATCTCACCTTTCTGACCTTCATTTTTAGGTTTTTAAATTAGTGATATTGCTAGCTCCTCTTTATTTCAAGATATTATAAGAAATAGGCTCTAAAGATAAGCAGATGGAAATTAGATCCTGCACTGTATTTTTTATTAATAAAGCTGAGTTGGGGATCATGACATTGCAGTGGGACTCCATTTGGGACATCTGTCTTCCTCTGTATTTATCCTACACCAGGACCCCAGACTTCTCCTTACCTCATTATCTTTGTTCCTTCCTCAAGGGTAGAGCTTTCTTTTCTGAAAGAGTCAAACTTTTTAAACCTGGGTCCTTTCCCCTAACTAACCAATTCAGAAACAGAAGGTGGAAAAGACTCCATTTTCCTTTTGAGAAGAACACGAAGTAGAGAGGCAGGGAGACTTCCCCTGAGACTCTTGTGGTCTCTGGCTTGGCAGATACTAGGTAAATAAAGTTTCCCTTCTGCCTGCTTGGTTATTTGTTGTCGTGAATAAGCAGAGTGTATGTGGGTGTACTGTGGAAGAGAGGGGCTGCCTCTTTCCTCTGTAATCCTGCAGCTTAGGTGGTCTTTCCCTACTAACATGAGTTCATCTTAGTCTTTTCCTTTTTTGCCATAAAAGTGGTAATACATCTGTGGAAATCCAGCACAGACTCCTGGGTACTGGGCACTTTCTTTCTAAAGTTACAAGATAAGGGCTAGGAATGTAGCTTAGTAGGTAGAGTGCTTGCCTAATATGCACAGGTCCTTGAATTTGATTCCCAGCACTTGCATAAACTGAACCCAAAGGTGTAGATAGACAGACAAGTGGCACATACCTGTAATTCTAGGGTCTTACGCATAATAAGTAAACATTTTATAAACCGAGATACCTCCCTGGCCATAAAGTTGTATTTTTGTTGTTGTTGCTTGCTTGTTTTATTTAAAAGTCTATAACTGCAGGCTTTGGGTTTATAGCTGAGTGGAGAATCAGGGCATGATAGCCAGGATCAGTAATCCCAGGGCTGCATGTTGAGACAGGTAGGTTCTGAGGGGAGGTGCCCGCTGGCCAGCCAATCTGGCTGAAAAGGCAAGCCCCAGGTTCAATGAGAGACCAAAAATTAAACTGGAGAGTGATTAGGACCTCAGGATTCCACATATGGCTGTATGGTTGAGTTGAGTGCACCTGTGCGCATCTTTATACATCATATGGGCAAGTGCAGATATATACATACAGCAAAGAGAGAATGATACGAAGATGCAGACATGCATAGACACGTGCACCCTCTCCCACATACTACATACACATAGACACATACCTCCATCTGCAGAACTACATTTTACAAAAGAGGTAGGTGCTAGAGTATGAATAGATTACAATTATGTCATCTGGGACCTAAAGGCAAAACATCTTACTGTGTCCTTGAAAGTTCAGTGTGTTTAGCACAGAGCTGCTAGGTAAGATGCAGGAATGGGCTGCGGAGACTTCCAGGCGGAGTGAAGCAAGTGAAGTTGCAGGATGGCATTTATATGCTTTTTGTCTTTTCTACTTCCCACCTTCTCTTTCTCTCTGTGTTTTCTGAGACTTGTTCCAATGGAGTTCAGACTAGTTTCAGAATTACTAAGTAGTCAAGGATTGACTTGAACTTCTAGTTCCTGCTCGAGGTGTGTCTTTAATAAATGTTTAAAATAGTTGGATGTATATGAAAGAATTTTTCTAGAATGTCTCTGATTTATTTGCCAGCAAGTGGTTGACTTGTCTACCTGTTTTATATTCCTATACCTCGGTTTATGTGAAATTTCTTGCATGAGAAGGGTTTCTAGAGGAAAAACTTTAAGCAGCCCCGGTTTGGCACCTGGGAGACAAAACACCTATCCATGTCCTTAGCATGTCTGACAGAGATGGAGTGTTTGCACAGCTGTGTAAGACTTAGGGAGAGTGCCAGGCAGTAGCTCACACCCTTAATCCCAGCACTCAGGAGGCGGAGGCAGGCGGATCTCTGTGAGGCCACCCTGGTCTACAGAGTCCTCTTTAGTTACTTTGAGGAAGGGCTTCATGATTTGGCCAAATTCATGCACTATTTCTAAAATTATTTACTTAACTCTGATAAATCTATTCACATCTTCCAGGTGCAGGATGTGTTTGTTTAGTCAGGTTTGCTAATTTTTTTTTTGTTTGTTTTGTTTTGTTTTTCGAGACAGAGTTTCTCTGTGTATCTCTCTGGATATCCTGGAATTTGCTCTGTAGAGGCTGGTCCTGAACTCAGAGATCATCCTGCCTCTGCCTCCCCGACTGCTGGGATTAAAGGCGTGCACTACCGCCCGGATGGATCTTGAAAATTAAAAACACCCAATTGGCCGGTGGTAGTGGCACTCACATTTAATGCCAGCACTCAGGAGGCAGAATCAAGTGAATCCTTGTGAGTTCAAGGCCAGCCTGGTCTACAGAGTGAGTTCCAGGACAGGCTCCAAAGCTACACATAGAAACCCTGTTTTGAAAAACCAAAAAAAAAAAAAAAAAAAAAAAAGAAAGAAAGAAAGAAAAACATGCAACTGGCCAGGTTTGGTGCACAGGCCTGTCATCCAGCTGCTCAGGAGACTGAGGCAGGGAGCAGCAGAGCTTGAGCCTTTAATGGACTACAGGCTAAGTTCAAAGCTATCTTCGGCAACTCGACAACTCAGTGAGACTTTATCTGAAGAAAAAACAAAACAAAAATCTGAGTGTTGAGGATACAGCTCCTTGGTAGAGCGCTCGCATAGCGTGTATGAAATCTTGGGCTGTGAATGTAGCTAGCACATTTGGTAGCGTGTGTGCCGAGAGTGAAGTAAGCTTTGGAGTCCATCCCAGGACTCAGACTGGGTATGGTTGTGCACAGTTACAGTCTCAGTCCTTAAGGAAGGGGGAGGATTAGGAGTTCGGTCCCTTGAATCCACTTGCAGGTGGAAGGAGAGAACCAACTCTGCCAGTTGTCTTCTCGCTTCCACACCTATTCCACCACCACAACGCTCACATGCACTGTTCTAATGAGAAGATGGCCTTCTGGGTCTGACTCTTCAGTTTAGACTTGAGGCTTTATGAATGTTCTTATTTCTGTTTACAGCCTGTCAGTCTAGTAAGAGCGGGAGCCTACTGCTACTGGGGAGTTAGCCGTCCACTCTGGATTTTTAACACTGACATGTGTGTTGTCTATTTTCAGAGTTCCAGCATCGACTTCCTAGCAAGCCAAGGATTTGACTTTAATAAAGTGTTTTGCAGTGGTAAGACTGACTTTGTAGTTGATAAAACTTTAAAATCCTTCAGAAGTAAATCTCATTTCGCTTGAGAATCACCATTTTCCAAAAGCCTTTTTATTTTATCAACTTATAGTTCATCATGGAGACAGTGCTAGGTTTCATGTTCAGTACTGCATTTATAGATGTGTGCTGCCTCACCCAGCTTGTCCGTGGGTGCTGGGGCTCCAAACTCTGTTCCTCGTGGCATGTATGAAGTCTTAGGCTCAATCCCTACTTCTCAAAAACAGCAGCAACCCACAAAGAGAGCGTTTTGGGCTGTGAATGTAGCTAGCTCATTTGGTAGAGTGTGTGCCTAGCCTGAAACAAGTTTTGGAGCCCCTCCACATAGCAGGTATTTAACTGACTGAGCTATGTCCCTGAACCTCTATGTTTAATTTTTTTATTAAAATAACATTTTTGCTCTGGGCGGTGGTGGTGCACGTTTTTAATCCCAGCACTTGGGAGGTAGGGCAGGCGGGTCTCTGTGAGTTCCAGGCCAGCCTGGTCTACAAGAGCTAGTGCCAGGACAAACACCAAAGCTACAGAGAAACCTTGTCTCAAAAAAAAAAAATGCATTTTTTTCCATGATATTTATTGAGGTCTACATTTTTCTCTGCTCTCCTCCCTGCCTCTCCCCTTTTCCCTTCAGCCCTCCCTCATGGTCCCCATGCTCCCAATTTACTCAGGAGATCTTGTCTTTTTCTACTTTCTACTTCCCATATAGATTAGATTTATGTAAGTCTCTCTTAGTGTCCTCATTGTTGTCTAAGTTCTCTGGGATTGTGGTTTGTAGGCTGGTTTTCTTTGCTTTATGTTTAAAAACCACCTATGAGTGAGTACATGTGATAATTGTCTTTCTGTGTCTGGCTTACCTCACTCAAAATAATGTTTTCTAGCTCCATCCATTTTCCTGCAAAATTCAAGCTGTCATTATATTTTTCTGCTATGTAGAATGTATCACATTGTATAAATGTAACATATTTTCCTTATCCATTCTTTGATCGAGAGGTTGTTTCCAGGTTCTGGCTATGACAAACAAAGCTGCTATGAACATAGTTGAGCACATGTCCTCGTAGCACAATTGAGCATCCTTTGGATATATACACAAAAGTGGTATTACTGGGTCTTGAGGAAGGTTGTTTCCTAATTTTCTGAGAAATCGCCACACTGACATCCAAAGGGGTTGTACCAGCTTGAATTCCCACCAGCAATGCAGAAGGTTCTCTTTTCCCCACAACCTGTCCAGCATAAGTTGTCATCAGTGTTTTTGATCTTGGCCATTCTTACACGTGTAAGATGGAATCTCAGAGTTGTTTTGATTTGCATTTCTCTGATGACTAAGGATATTGAATATTTCTTTAAGTGTCTTTCAGCCATTTTAGATTGCTCTGTTGAGAGTTCTCTGTTTAGGTCTGTACTCCATTTTTTTTATTGGATTATGTGATCTTTTGGTGTCCAATTTCTTGAGTTGCATTTATTTTTTTTAAATAGTTTATGTATATTTTTATGAGCATTGATTGTTGTTTTGGCTTGCATCTCTGTGTGAGGGTGACAGATCCTCTGGAATTGGAGTTACAGACAGTTTTAAACCGCCATGTGGGTGCTGGGAATTGAACCTGAGTCCTCTGGAAGAGCAGTTGGTGTTCTTGACCACTGCGCCATCTCTCCAGCCCCCATTTTTGCATTTCTTTGTTACATCTGTGCCCATCCAGTGTGTGTGAGTACAAGAGCTCGGAGGAGGATTTTGGGTACTCTGCATCTGGAAGTAAAGGTGGTGATGCGCTGTCTGATGTGATGCTGGGACCTGAGCTCAGACCCTCCAGAACAGTAGCAAGTGCTTTTCACTGCTTCAGCTCCACCCTCTCTTTTGTAACCTGGTTAATTCTGAGTGAGTAAGAGAGTAGGTAGTATTTCCTTAGATTGTAATTAGGTCTCTTAAAGATAGTTCATCTTACCCCTTCAGGACTTACTCACATCTGTCCAAATGCAGGAATGTTTCCTAGGTCCTGCCAGAGTGACAGGTGCATTTCCTACTTAAGCCTTCTGGTCACAATCTCCCGTCCCCATTACTGTTTATTATAATGGAGACAACTCATGGGGAGAGGTGAGGTCTGTGTAGCTGGCCTGACTCCAGTGGCTCAGCTGTGGGGCTCTTGGACTGGACAGCATGCTGAGGAGGGGCTGTGCCTTCCTCATGTGCCATCGTCACTGTAGAGCATGAGGCATCTTTTTCAGGGAGGAGACTTACTATTTGTTGAATGTTAGTGCTGGAATATTGGATAGTAGGACATAGTAGAATGGCGTTCCTTTCTCTTAAATGTTTGGGAGTGAAGGTGGTAGGTGGTACATCAGTCAGGCAGGCAGTCAGTCAGCCTGCCTATGTGAGACCCAGTTTCATCCTTAGTATTACAAAAAAGAAAAGAAGAAAATAGAAGGAGTAAATTTTGAGAGTCAGATGTGGTAGCTGCCCATAATCCCGTAGCTGAGGCAGGAGAATTGCAAGTTCAGTGCCAGCCTTGGCTTCAGTAGCAAGAGGCCCTGTCTCAAAACCAGAAGCCCTGGAATAACTCTTCTGCTGGAAGTTCTTCCTGGGGCTGTCACAGGCTCCGTGACATCTGGACATTGTATAGGAGCTTCAGGGCTGTTACAGGCTCCGTGATGTCCGGACATTCTCCAGGAGCTTCAGGGCTGTCACAGGCTCCATGACGTCCGGACATTCTCCAGGAGCTTCAGGGCTGTTACAGGCTCCATGACGTCCGGACATTCTCCAGGAGCTTCAGGGCTGTTACAGGCTCCGTGACGTCCGGGCATTCTCCAGGAGCTTGAGCTCCAGCTTGGCGTTGTTGTTGGTCTGTCTAGCCCTTCTCTTGCTCAGGGTGACTTTGACATCCAACAGGATGGTTAGGAATGCCCAGTTTGTGCATTTCTTGAGGAAATACTAACTCGGATTGATTTTGTTGTCAATTAACATTAGCATCCAGTGATGATTCCTTTGCTTCTCCCTCTTAGAGCGGTCCCTTCGTTGGCTCTGCATATCTTTTTTCTTCATTTGGTTTTCCCTCACAGTGACCTTTGCTCATTTGATCAGAAGTTCCCTTTGTGGCAGAACAGGCTACTTCTGTTATTTCCTTCATGTTTTTATTCATAAATGCTCAGAACAGCATCAGGGCCGAGTAGTTATTGAAATGATGAGTGAATACATGAACAAGCATCTCTAATGATCACTTACCTTCTGTGGTTTTTGTTTTTACAGTATAGTTAAAATGTGTTTTCTGAGTATGATGGGTTTTTTTTTTTTTTTTTTTGGTTTTTCGAGACAGGGTTTCTCTGCGGCTTTGGAGCCTGTTCTGGAACTAGCTCTGTAGACCAGACTGGTCTCGAACTCACAGAGATCCGCCTGCCTCTGCCTCCCGAGTGCTGGGATTAAAGGCGTGCGCCACCATCACCCGGCTATGATAGGTTTTTAGTTAGTTAAAAACTTTTGTGTTTAAGCCAGGTGTAGTGATGCACACTTTTAGTCCATAACTTAGGAGGCAGAGACAGGCAGATCTATGTGAGTTCAAGGTCAGCCTGGTCTACATAGTGAGTTCCAGGAGAGTCAGGACCACATGGTGGGACTCTGTCTCCAAAAACAGAAAAAAACACCCCCAACAAAAAACCAAAACGAACCAACCAACCAAAAATAGTTTCATGGCTCAGAAGTTAAGAATGGTTGCTTTTCTTCCAAGGGGGTGGAGCTTGGTTCCTATCACCCACATCTGACAACTCATAATTGCCTGTAACTCTAGTTCTAGGGGGTCCAAGGCCCTCTCTGATCTCCGCAGGCACCTGCATACAAGACACATACACATAAGGAAAAATAAATTAAAAGGAAGAGTTTTCTCTGTGAAATTATTATGTCTTCTAATGTATCCTTTAAAAAATTATGTGTAGGAATTCCATATCTGAATCAAGAAGAAGAAAGACAGCTGAGAGAGCAATTTGATGAAAAACGTTCTCAGGCCAATGGGGCAGGAATTATGGCAAAATGTCCTGTGACAGTTCCTGAGGACCAGAAGAAGTTCATTGACCAAGTAGTGTAAGTTCCTGAAATGACATGCCACACGGGTTGGGGGCTGTCTCACCTTGGGCAGCACCTGCAGGGAACCTACATAGGTGTGATGTCAGAGGCAGCATCTTGATTGTGGCAGGACTTCTGTCTCCCACACAACTTGTGCTTCATATGCACAGGTGTTCACACGAGCGTTCACCGGAGTTGCAGGCTTTAATTGTGGCTTATCTAAATATGGCCAATAGCAGCAAGTTGCATCGTGTTTGGGCCTGTTCCATGCTGCTATGTGAGGGCCTCAGCAGGTGTGCAGATCTGTCTGGACCAAACCTTCCCAGAATGTTGTTCCGTATTTACTTTTTTTTTTTTTTCTCACAGTGAAGTTTTGACAAGAAAATGTGTCCTGGGAGGAGTATCTAGTCTATCTAGTCTTATATAGGTTAGTCACCAGTATAGTAGCTTTATTAGAAAAGTCAAAGTGTATTGCTAGTATTGATGAATTCTTTCTTAAAATACTTACAGATTGTGTAAGTGGTATTTATACACTCATGTGTGGGTGTCTGCGTGAGGAGGTCAGAGAAGGGGGTTGGGTATCCATCTGCATCCCTTTGCTTTATTTTTGAGGTGGGGCTTCTCCTTGTAGCTGGAGCTAGGCTGACAGGCAGCATGGCTCAGTGATCCTCCTGTCTTTGCCATGCCCACTCCCAGCACTGGGGTTGTAGCTGTGTGTTAAGTCCTGCCTGGCTTGTTGGTATTGGAATCTGCACTTACCCTCATGGTTGTGTAGCAAGCACTCTTGTCTCTGCATATCTAATATTGATTGTTTGAGAAGATGTTTTAATTTCGCTAGTGACAGCAATAATTCACACAAAGCATATGTAAATCCATTTTTTGTTTTTATTTTTTTAAATTTACTTACTATGTATGTAGTGTTCTGTCTGCATGTATTCCTGCAGTCAAAAGCGGGCACCAGATCTCATTACAGACAGTTGTGAGCCACCTTGTGGATGCTGGGTATTGAACTCAGGAACTCTGGAAGAGCAGCCAGTTATCTCTGAGCCATCACACTACCCCTTAATTTTTTTTTTTTCTCTTGGTTTTTTGAGACAGGGTTTCTCTGTAGCTTTGGAGCCTGTCCTGGAACTAGCTCTTGTAGACCAGGCTGGCTTCGAACTCAGAGATCCGCCTGCCTCTGCCTTCCAAGTGCTGGGATTAAAGGCGTGTGCCACCACTGCCCGGCTTCTGTGTAGCTTTTGAGCCTGTCCTAAGCTCACTCTATAGACCAGGCTGGCCTTGAACTCACAGAGATCCCCTGCACTGCCTCCTGATTAAAGGCGTGCTCCACTACCACCTGCCATTTTCTTTGGCTTTGATTATCTTTTTGATATGCTTGGATTATATGGAAAAAAGACCTATAAGCATAAGACATATGTTCTTGGGGCTGGGAATGTAACTTAGTTGGTAGAATGCTTTCCTAGAATGCACAAAGCCTAGGGTTTGGTCTCCAGCACTGCATGAGCTGAGTGCAGTGGTGCACATCTGTAACCCTAGCATTCTGCTTGTGAGGTGGAGGCAGGAAGAGCAGATGTTCAGGCTGTCCTCAGTACATAGCAAGTTTGAGGGCAACGTGAGATACATGAGACTGTCTCAAAAAAGGAAAAAGGGAAAAAACTAGACTGCTTTTGTATGTGGGGGCATGTTCCAAAAATAGAATTCAGGCTTTTGTTCATGCTAGACAAGTGCTGTACCACTGGCTTCACCCCAGCCCTGTGCTTTTGAATGTAACTTGCTGGTTACTTGAGTATGGATTTTGAGTACAATGACTGTTCTGATCACTTCATTCCTTCAAGGTACTTATGGTCCTTGTCTGATTCTTATTCATCAGAGAGAAGATAGAGGATTTCCTACAAAATGAAGAGAAGAAGATCTTGGATCTAGAGCCGTGCACTGGGTCAGTTCCTGTTTGTTGCATGCATTCCTTTGTAGGAGAGGAGTTCTGCTTTTTGATGTGTGTTCCCTCCCTCCCTCCCTCCCTCCCTCCCTCCCTCCCTCCTTTCTTTCTTTCTTTCTTTCTTTCTTTCATTTTTGGTTTTCCAAGACAGGGTTTCTCTGTGTAACAGCTCTGGCTATCTGGAACTCACTCTGTAGACCAGGCTCTGCCTCCTGAGTGCTTGGATTAAAGGTGTGCATCACCGTGTCCAGCATGTATGGTCTTTCTACAACATCCTATAGTCCTTCTTTCACAGATGTGCTCCTAAGACTTGTCGCACTGACACAGTGGGAATGTCTGTCTACTGAGACTCACAGTCAATACTTTGTCCCATCCTTGGACAGAGCCTTTAGGTTGTGCCCAGAAGCAGCGTCATTAGCCTGAAGGAGGGCTAACCATATGAGGATCTCAGAAGAGAAGGAGTCACTGTCAGGTCCCCTCTGTTCTTTTAATTCTTTCTACAGAGAAAAACCAAGTCAGCATGTGAGAGAACATCTTAGCATCTCTCCTCCTTTACTCATGGCACACTTCACAAGGGTGTCAGGATGCAGATGTCTATTCTAAATTCTTCATGCAGCTGCAGGCAGCAGTATGTTTGATCCTAATTTCTACCTTATCTTTAAAAGCAATATAATAACTTTAAAATTCTGATTAAAAACACATGATGAGTCTTTCTGCCTCACAAATGTGCCTGTGTTTGTTATTCCCACCACATTCTAATGAGGTCACTAAATTCAGTCTTTTCCAAGCATTGACTAATTCGTTAGGGTTCACTCTTAATAGCCCACGTTAATTCCTTTTCTTGTTTTATAGGTTCCAAAGAAAACTTATTTATCAGACTTTGAGTTGGAAGTAAGTATTTGAATTAGATGCGAGAGAGCTCTCAAGGACTGGGATTTACTAAAGTATAATCTTTGGTTCTATTTCTCATGAAGTTTTCAGTTATGGGTGATTTGACCCTATCATGTCCCCAGTCAGTTCTTAAATGGACTCCTCCGACACCACTTTGTGTGTGTCTTAAGGCATACGTAGCTCCCGCTGTTCTCTGTGTCTCCCTCTCCCTCTGCCCCTCCAAACGAAAAACTAATCTGACAGCTATGTGCACATGGGAATAATCTTGTTCTATCCATACATCTGCTCTCTGTGCTTTCCACATCCCTTTCTTCTTTGGCTGCTGCAAACGCCAAGGCAAACTGCAACCTAGCAGCGCCCTGCCCTCCCCTTTGTGCACCCCATGAAGTCTGCAGACAGTGTTAAAACACTTCAGTTACAAAGTAGGCATTAGGAAGCAAGATGTCCTCTGAGACAGTGAGTTGACTATATTATGAAATACCAAGCATTTTAGAAAGTGCTAAAATCCTAAAATGTTCACATGAAATTGATGACATTCCAGTGCCTGAGACGAGGCGGGAAAGCGGTTTTCCGTAGGCTTTTCGTAAAATCTTACTGTAAAGTGTAGTGATGATTGTCCCATTTTAGTAAAACTTTAGTTTATAACCACGTGGCTGCTTGTCGAATTCTTTGGGCTTTAGCAGTCATTGAATCTACACTGATATGTTTTTCCTTTTTTTTTTTTTTCCGTTTAGGTTTCCCAAAGGCATTCATGTTGAGACGTTAGAAACTGAAAAGGTAACTAAAAGTTACGCTGACAGTCAGCTAACACAGTGCCTTTGCCCTGGCTCCCACGAGCTGTGACTCACCACCCATTTGTCCTCTCCGAACCTGCTTTTCCTTATTTGTAGCAGAGCTGAGTATTATGGTCTTAATCTAATGTAGGTTACAGCCTTTAAAAAAAACCCAGAAATTCAGAAGATTTATTTATTTATTTATTTATTTCTAAGACGGCATTTCTTTGTGTAGCCTTGGCTGTCCTGGAACTCGCTCTGTAGACCAGGCTGGCCTGACACTGACAGAGATCCACCTGCCTCTGCCTCCAGAGTGCTGGATTAAAAGTGTGCACTACAACTGCCCGGCTGTTTATGTTTTTATGTGTACAAATGCTTTGCCTATGTTAGTTTGTGTAACATGTGCACTGTAAGTCAAACATAATTGGAGTTACAGATGTTTGAGAGCCATCTGTAGGTGCTGAGAATTGAACTCAGGTCCTCTGCAAGAGCAGTCATTGCTCTTAACTACTGAACCATCTCCCCAAACCCCACTTACTGCTTTTTTTTTTTTTTTAAATGAAGATTCAGGCTAGGAGTAGAGATGTTCTCCTTTAATTTCAGCTCTTAGAGGCAGACCGATCTCTTTGAGTTCCATCCAGCCTGGTCTGCATAGTGATTCCCAAGATGGCCAGGGCTATAGAGAGATCCTGTCTCAAGCAAAACAAAACAAAAAGCAACAAAAATGAACCAAATAAAATGATTCAGTGCCGGGCCGTGGTGGCGCACGCCTTTAATCCCAGCACTCGGGAGGCAGAGGCAGGCGGATCTCTGTGAGTTCGAGACCAGCCTGGTCTATAAGAGCTAGTTCCAGGACAGGCTCCAAAACCACAGAGAAACCCTGTCTCGAAAAAAACCAAAAAAAAAAGAAAAAAAGAAGATTCAGTGTCTAAGTAGAAGAGTACTGTTCCCATATCTAATATATACATACATTATATATAGTATGCATTTTTTTCTTTTTTTAATTAAAGGTTTATTTTTATTTTATGTGCATGGTTGATTTATGTGCATGTATGTCTGTTTGCCATGTGTATGCAGTGCCCACGGCAGCCAGAAAAGGGAATTGGATCTCTTGGGACTGTAGTTATAGATAATTATGAACTGCCATGTGGTTCTGGTAATCAGTCTTGGGCCTTCTAGAAGAGCAGCCAATGCCCTTAAGTGCTGAGCCATCTCTCTAGCCCCTCTTTTTCTCTTAAAATTTATACCTGCACGTATGCATGTATGCACACACATGCTCATGTCTGTGTCTGTGTTGGTGGGGATTAGGGCATGTGGAGGTCAGAAAAGCCCGGCTAGAACTCAGGTGGTCAGGTTTGTCACTAGGTGCATTTCCCTCATGAGCCGTGTCTCTGGCCCTACAGTGTACTTAATGACTATAAAATATCTCATAAATATAAAATGATTTGTGAGAAATAAGACTATACTCCTCTAAGGTTTTTCTCAAGATCATAAAATATGTAGATGCTTTATTTAAAACTAATTATTTAAAATTTCATGGTCAAAAGTTACATAACCTTGTTGATCACTCTGTAAAGTCTTGCTTGTGTGCACAGTCTGTGGTTGATTTCAGTTGACATTTGTTAGTTTGAAATTTTTTTTTTTTTTTTTTGAGACAGGGTTTCTTTGTAGTTTTGGAGCCTAAAGGTGTGCGCCATAGTTTGAATTCTTAAAATACTAGAAATGTTGCTGATGTTGGTAGCAAGTGCCTTTAATCCCAGCATTTGGGAGGCCTAGGCAGGCAGCTCTCTGAGTTCAAGGCCAGTCTGGTGTGCTGTAGTGAGTTCCGGGACTTGCTTCAAAGATACCAAGAAGCCCTGTCTTGAAAGACAAAATGAAAGAAAACAAAGTACTGGAAGTGTCATGACATGCAGATGCAGAGGGGCCTGTGTCCCCACTCAGCTTGGGCATCATCTCAGAATAGCTTCTGTTGTGCTTGCTTATGCTTTGGCTGATAACTTTTTGGCTGTTTTCTTTTTGGCTTATTGAGATGGACTCATCTAGCTCAAGCTGGACTTGAACTCACTATGTAGCCCAATACATCAACATTGCCATTTGAAGTGATAGTCACAGCCCTTTGGAGCTAAAGGGGTGTACAGTGTTTTCAGAAAGCTGCACATTTGCTGTGTCTTTTAGAAGGAGAGACACATACTTATCAGCAAAGTGGATGAGGAAGAGCGCAAGAGGAGAGAGCAAGAGAAGTACGCAAAGGAGCAGGTGAGTGCGCTTGCTGTTTCATTTAGTGAGAAGTGACAGTGTACACAGGACTGACTTCTTTCTAGGTATTTCTGGATCACAGTTGTTGGATCAGTTTAGCAAGCAGATGGCCACTTGTTACAGTTTGTTTTGGTTTGGAGTTTTTGAAGACCAGTAGGGTGTTAGACGGCAGTTCCTGGTTCTCTTTCTCAGTCTTCCAATTGCTGGGATCACAGCTTTGCACTACTTTGCCTTGTTGTATTTTGTAAGTCACCTTGATTGACTTCGAAATTGTAGCTTGGTCCTATAGCTATGTGTGGTGAACCCAGCCCTTGGAAGGAGGAGGTGGGAAGGTCAAGCTTCAAGGCCAGTATAAACTGTACGAGGTCCCGATTCAGAAAATAGATAGTCCTTTTCCCAATATTTAAAGTGATGGGCAAACTCTCAGTGTTATTAAGTAAATTAATGAGTAATTTAACATTGCTCTTTTACTCTCTAAAATAGGAAAATATGTACTTCTCTTTCTTTCTTTCTTTTTTTTTTTGAGACAAGGTTTCTCTGTGCAGCCCTAGCTGTTCTGGAACTTGCTCTGTAGACCAGACTGACCTCAAATTCAGAGATCTGCCTGTGCCTCCCAAGTGTTGTGATTAAAGGTGTTTATCACCACCTCTCATCAAAGATTTACTTTCATTATTTTGTTTTATTTTTATTTATTTCATTGGTGTTTTAGCCTGTATGTGTAAATGTGTGAGGGAGCTGGATCCTGGAGTCACAGACAGCTGTGAGCTGATGTGAAGGTATCACATCCCCTGGATCCTGGAGTCACAGACAGCTGTGAGCTGATGTGAAGGTGTCACATCCCCTGGATCCTGGAGTCACAGACAGCTGTGAGCTGATGTGAAGGTGTCACATCCCCTGGATCCTGGAGTCACAGACAGCTGTGAGCTGATGTGAAGGTGTCACATCCCCTGGATCCTGGAGTCACAGATAGCTGTGAACTGCCTTGTAGGTGCTGGGAACTGAACCCAGGTCCTCTAGAAGAGCAGTCAGTGCTCTTGACCGCTAAGCCATCTCTCCTCCCCACTTTCATTATTTTATTTATGTGTATATGTGTGCTTTGTGTGTATCCTTGAGAGTGAGTGTGCAGAGGCCAGATGAGGGTATGGGAGCCCCTGAAGCTGGCGTGAAATGCATTGTGATCTCTCTAATGTGACTGCTGGGAACTGAACTTGGGTTCAGTTGGAGCTGTCACTTTTCTTCAGCCTTTACAGGGTTCTGAGGGGCACACTCAGGTTGTGAGGCCTGTGTGGCAAGTGCCTTTACCCACTAAGCCCTCTTGCTGGCTCTGTTTGTTTTTAATTTAGTTCTTTTACTTAGGAGGAACTGAATGATGCTGTGGGATTTTCAAGAGTCATCCATGCCATTGCTAATTCGGTAAGTCATCAATATTTTGGTTTTGTTTCTAATTAAATGACTAAGCATACTATTTAAGATTAACTGTTTAACTGCTATTGAAAATTCTTCATTTGATTACTGTCTTAGATAGAGTTTCTATTGCTGTGAAGAGACACCATGACCATGGCAACTCTTATAAAGGAAAATGTAGTGATATTTTATTTGTATTTTAATAAATAAAGCTTGTCTGAAGATCAGAGAGTAAAACAGCTGCCTGGTCAGCCGTATAGACCAGGCAGTGGGAACACACACCTTTAATCCCAGCAGCCACACTAGTTTGCCATAGAAACTGGGTGATGCTGGTGCAGGCCTTTAATCCCAGAACTAGAGAGGAACATAAAATGCGAGGAGACAGCTCTCAGACACAGTCTCATTCTGAGATTCCTGGTCACCATTTTAGACTGAGGTAGAGGTAAGAGTCAGTGGCTGACTGCTTTGCTTTTTTAACTTTCAGGTTGAACCCTAATACCTGCCTCTGGATTTTTATTAATTGTACTACAGGGAAATATTTAATTGGGGCTGGCTTACAGTTTAGAGATTCAGTCCATTGTCATCATTGTGTTCATGGAGGCATGTAGGCAGACATGGTGCTGGAATGATGGAGAGGCTGCATTTTATATGGAGGCGACAGGAAGTGAACTGAGACAACTGGGCATAGCTTGATCATAAGAGACCTCAACCCCACCCCCACAGTGACACATTTCCTCCAGCAAAGCCACATCTTCTAATAATGTCACTTCCTAGAGCTTATGGGGGGCCAGTTACATTGAAATTACCACAGTTACCCTTGGAATGTTTACCTAGTCTCAAGGAGGAAGTCAGTGACACAGGGTCGGTTGCTGCAAGACTCTGGGCTGTGGTGGCACACGCCTTTAATCTCAGCACTTGGAAGGCAGAGGCAGGCGGATCTCTGTGAGTTTAAGGCCAGCCTGGTGTACAAAAGCTAGTTCCAGTACAGGCTCTGAAGCTACAGGAAACCCTGTCTTGAAAAACTAGAAGAAAAAAAAAAAACAAAAGACAACCCAACACAGTAGCTGCACGAAACTAGCATCATGAGTATGAAATTGAGAATCAGAAGTCAAGGAACGAGTAGGGTAATCCGGAGGATAAATAATAACAAGTTGACTTCCTCTACAGAACTCTAGTTAATCCTGAAATATATCTATCATAATCTCCGTAATAATAAAGCTTTGAAAACGTACTGGCTCTTCAGGCAATAGTAGTACACGCCTTTAATCTCAACACTCAGGAGTCAGGCAGGCAGGTCTCTGTGTGTTTGAGGCCAGCCCGTTCTACAGAGTGAGTTCCAGGACAGGCTCTAAAGCTACACAGTGAAACTCTCTCAAAAAAGCAAAACCAAACCAAAACGAAAACTGTATTGGCTATTTGTATAAATGGCTAGAGAATTCTATGGTAGACATCTTTCCTTGGTCCTTTCGCATGGGTAAATGTGGTAGTTCTCTTGCTTTGATCACCTGGGTCTGAGATTTTCTTCTTGGGCAGTTGGATCTGGGAAAAGAGGTTGACTTGTCCCTTAGATGTTTGGTCATCAAGACCCTTTAAATCAGTGCAGGTCTGTCAACATGGGCAGTGGAGAAGAGGCACACCGTGTTCTCATTTGGGGACAGTGCCAATCATAGAGCCTTCCAGAAGAAGATCATTAATCATGAGGGACTTGTTATGAAGTGGACAGTTGTGTGATCCTGGGAGGAGAAAGGGCTGAGTCTCTTCAGCAGCTGCTGAGATCATAGGAGCCTAGAAAAGCAGGTTCTGCTTCCCCTTGGTACTGTGTGCTGCCAGTGTGCTTGAGAGTCATCTTACTGTTCAAAGTCCTCCTTGTTCGTGGAAAGAAGTACATGTCTATTCACTTAACGGTACATACTCTGAAAAAATACAGAAGACAGCAGTACCTCTGATACCTATGGGGCCGTGGTAGATGTGAAAAGTGAGAAGGTGACAGATCTCTTCAAAACACATAGTTTAATAAAAGGATCTAAATCTCTTTTCTAGGATCTAGAGGATTACAAAGTGAGAAAAAAAATTTAAGTTATACGTCTTAGAAATTAAAATATTTCTTATTATATTTTGTTTCAAAATAGGGATTCTCTATATAGCCCTGCCCATCCTGTAGCTCGCTCTGTATACCAGGTTTGCCTTGAACTCAAAGATCCACTTGCCTCTGCCTCTCAAGTGCTGGGATTAGGGGCCTGAGCCACCATTACGTGGCTTAATTTTTTATTAATATTAATAATGTCTCTGAAGCCAACAGATAGTAAACACATTTATTTATTTATTGAATGGTTGATGGATTGATTTGCAGGATTGAGGGTTGAACCCAGCACTTTACTCTTCAATTTTTTTTATTAAATAATTTATGTGTATGGATATTTTGCCTGTATGTGTATGTGTGGACTTGTGATTGCAGCTGCCTACATAGTCCAGAAGAGTGTATCAGATCCCCTGGAGCTGGATTTACAGCTGCCCAGTGTGCCAACTGGGAACTGAACCTTTTTATCTTGTTCTTCGTTCGCTTGTTTGTTTTTCGAGACAGGGTTTCTCTGTGTAGCCCTGACTATTCTGGAACTCATTTTGTAGCCCAGGTTGTCCTTGAACTCACTCTGTAGACCAGGCTGGCCTTGAACTCACTCTGTAGACCAGGTTGTCCTTGAACTCACTCTGTAAACCTGGCTGGCCTCGAACTCACTCTGTAGAGCAGGCTGGCCTTGAACTCATTTCTGCCTGCAGAAGCCAGAAGAGAGAACATCCTCAGATGTCCTTCCAGGTGATTGTGAGCTATACTATCAGGCGATTGTGAAATGGGTGCTGGGAACAAAGCTCAGGTCCTCTGAAAGCAGTAAGCACTCTTAACCAGTAGCTCCAAGAGTGGTTTCTTCTGTGCTGTCCTGACTCTGTGCCACTGGGCAGTGTGTACACAGCCATAGTGCAGGTTGACGTCAATGGGCAGTGTGTGTACACTCAGCCATAAGTGCAGGTACTTAAAAGAGAAGTGCACTTAAAAGAGAATGGCCACCTAGACTCAAAGATTTTAATGCTTAGTCACAAGGGAATGACACTATTTCACTATTTCAAAGGATTAGGTGTGACCTAGTTAGAGGAAGTGTGTCACTGAGTGTTGGTTTGCCCAGAGGCTCTGTCTGCAGTGAGGACGTAGCTCTCAGTGCAGTGCACACTGCCATGATAATAATGGACTGACTCTGAGACTGGAAGCAAGTCCTGTAAGAAGATTGCCTTGGCCGCTGTGGCTCATTGCAGCAGTAGAACACTGATTAAGACAGTTGTTGACATCTGGCATCTCCCTTCTTCATTTGTCATGCCCCACCCCACCTTTCACTTGTCTTGCCCCTCTTTGATTCAGCTAGGCTGGCTGACTAATGATCCCTCCCCAGTGTTTGCATTATAGAAATGAAGCTTTTTTCAAAGTCCTAATGTTTCTTCATGTAACACGTCCAAGTCAGAGCTCAACTTAATTCTTGACATAATTAATCTTCTATAAAATATCCCAAATCTAACAAGCAGTGCTTCACTATATTGCTTGATGCTTTGTGTTCAAAATGGAGTCATCTAGCCAGCACTACACAGTGAGTTCCAGCACAGCCCAGGCTATAAAGGAGACCCTGTGACAGATAAAACAAATTACCCTTCTTAATCCACAAATAAGTAACAAAACCAAACAAAATCTGGAAGCAAAGCTGAATATGGTGGCACATGGGATCAGGAGTTCAAGGTTATCCCAGCTGCATAGTCACTCACAGCCAGCCTAAGCTACCTGAGGACCTGTCTCAACTCCTGCTCCTCCATCCCCAAAATAAACCAGCAGTGTCATCTTCTTCCCATTTCCTAAGAATCACAAGGTTGCAACATTCTATGTTAGTAGTTAAATTTTTATCAAAATGCAGAAATTATTGTACATGTTTATATTTCAGTTGATTGAGAAGTACTGAGGGTCAGCACTGAGCCATCTTGTGGCAGCCTGAGTCTGATTTCCCAAATCCATGTAAAGGTAGAAAGAGCAAATCCTGCTGTGGCTTGTGTACTTGCCCCCTCTACCACCCACTCAAGTATGTGCATGTGTGTGTGCACACACACAGACTAATAATAATAAATTTTAAAAAAGAAGAGCAATGACATGTCATGACTCATTGAACTGAGACATAGATAAATGTAGTTAATGAAGGTTGAATTTAATAAAATTAGGAATTATTTTTCCGTTTCATGGCATTGTTATAAATATATCTTTAACAATAAGTAGGCTGTTTTAAAGATCTTTGTTAAAGTCTTAAAGATATATATATATATTTGAAGTTTTGTTCACAGCTTTTGACAAGCCAAGTTTTCAAGGTTTCAGATTTTATTGTTTAAAAGTGCTTCAGTCAAACTTACTACTTCCAGCCAGGCACTGTGTGTGCTACATCCCCACCTTCTCAGGGACGCCGAGGCAGGAGGATTGCTGTAACCCAGAAGTTCAGGGGCAGCCTGGGCAGTATAGCAAGACTTGTCTTAAAAAACAAAACCAACAATAAAAAACTACATCAAATTCTTGAAAATGACAAGATTAATAAGACTAAGAAAAACAGAGACATCACTAAGAATGGACACAGTGGGTGTATACCTGTAATCTCAGCACTTGAGAGGCCAAGGCAGGAAGGGTATGAATTTGAGGCCTGTGAGGATTACCTGTCTCTGTTGTGAAACTCTTGTCTCATCTGAAGCATGTATCTTACTTGAGTCCTGATGCAATTTTGACCTTGTCTTTTCCCAGGGAAAACTGGTTGTTGGACACAATATGCTCTTGGATGTTATGCACACAATTCACCAGTTCTACTGCCCTCTGCCTGTGGTAAGTCACTCCTGTGTAACTCTGACTGACTGCCCTCTGCCTGTGGTAAGTCACTCCTGTTAACTCTGACTGACTGCCCTCTGCCTGTGGTAAGTCACTCCTGTTAACTCTGACTGACTGCCCTCTGCCTGTGGTAAGTCACTCCTGTGTAACTCTGACTGACTGCCCTCTGCCTGTGGTAAGTCACTCCTGTGTAACTCTGACTGCCTTCTGCCTGTGGTAAGTCACTCCTGTGTAACTCTGACTGCCTTCTGCCTGTGGTAAGTCGCTCCTGTTAACTCTGACTGCCTTCTGCCTGTGGTAAGTCACTCCTGTGTAACTCTGACTGCCTTCTGCCTGTGGTAAGTCGCTCCTGTGTAACTCTGACTGACTGCCCTCTGCCTGCGGTCAGTTGCTCCAGTGTTGATACCCCCTGCCTTTTCAACTGTGACTGCTCTCTGCTGGGTTGCAATTCCTCATTTCCTTGTATGTGACATGTTTCCAGAAACAACTGCCTGTACTCTTCTTTTTAAAAGATTTATTTTACTATTTTATGTGTGTAAGTATTTTGTCTGCATGTTGTGTGCCCTGTGTATGCCTGGTGCCCAAGGAGTTCCAGAAGTGGGCACCTTAGGACTGGAGTGACGGAAGGTTCTAAGCTGTGAGGTGGGTGCTGGGTCTTCTGGAAGAGCAGCACATGCTGTTGATCATTGAGTCCTCTCTCTAACCCCTTAGATATCCTCTTTGGGGTTATTTTCTATGGACCTGGGAAGATAGTTCAAAAGCTAGCTGCTGACCAAGTTTATAGCCTTGCTGTACTGTTTTGATAGGAAGTGTACATGAACTGTTTCAGTGGTTTGATAGCATCAGCTATTGCCAGAGCAAAGCTAAATATTTATTTCCTCCATTGATTCTGGTGGGTTGTTTATTTACTACTGCACAGAGGGTAGGCCACAGGCATCTCTGAAATTAGATTTAGGAGAGCTGTGATTGCCTCCTGCTGAGCATCATGAGGCTCCCTGGGGACTTCAATGGCATCTCTGTACCAGGAGCCATGCTACTCAGGTCACTGTCCCGCCTCTCCAGTCGGCTGTTATAATCCTGAGGCAGCTCATTTCCCAGCTGCCCAGACCGGAATAATCACACAGAAGCAAATCCTTAATTACAACACTGTTTGGCCTATTAGCTCAGTCTTCTTATTAACTAATGTATTGCTACGAGGCTGTGGTTTACTAGGTAAGGTTCTGTTCTGGTGTCTTTCTCCTTCGTGTCTCTTTGACTCTGCCTCCTCTTTCTCTCTCTGTTCTGATTTCCCACCTGGCTTTACTCTGTTAAGCAACTGGCCCAAACAGCTTTATTCATCAACCAATAAATGCAACACATATACAGAAGGACATCTCACATCAGATAATACCTGATTTAAGAGAAAATTAGGTGATGGCCCAAATTTGGGTTGTGTGGCCATAGTTTGCCAATCCCTGTGTATTAGTCAGGGTTCTCTAGGGAAAGAAACTGATAGACTAAATATATCTATATCTACATATATATGTGTGATTTACTAGAGTGCTTACAGGCTGTGGTCCAGCTACTCCAGCAATGTCTGTCTTCCAATGGAAGGTCCAAGAATCCAGTAGTTATTCAGTCCACAAAGCTGGATGTCTCGGCTGGTCTTCAGCGGACACTGGAATGCTGAAGAAGCATGCTCTAATGCCAGGGAAGGAATAGACTTGCCAGTGAGAGCGAGGAGCAGGCAAAGAGAGCGAGCTTCCTTCTTCTGTGTCCTTCATGTAGGCTGCCAGCAGAGGTGTGGCCCAGATCAAAGGTGAATCTTCCACCTCAAAGATCTGGATAAAAGGTATATCTTCTCATTTCAAAAATCCATATTTGCTGACCGTGGTAGCGCACACCTTTAATCCCAACACTCAGGAGGTAGAGGCAGGCAGATCACTGTGAGTTTGAGGCCAGCCTGGTCTACATAGTTCCAGGACTGATAGGGCTGCTTCAAAAAGAAACCTTATCTCCCCCCCCCCCCCCCCCCGCCATCCAGATTAGAAATAGGTCTTTCCACTTCCAATGACTTAATTAAGGAAAAAAAAATCCCTCACAGGTGTCCCCAGATATTTTAATTTTAGTTAATTCCAGATGTAGTCAAGTTGACAACCAAGAATCATCATTACACCATGCTTTATTTTTATTTACTTAAAAAAGTTAATTTCAGGTCTGTCACGGTGTCTCAGTGGTTAAATTCACTTGCTTTTTCAGCAGACCTGGATTTGGTTCCCAACACCCACACTTGGCAGTCCTCAGCTTCTTGTAACTCCAACTCCAGGGGATCTGATACCTTCTGACCTTCAAGGGCACCCGCAAAAATGTAGTGCCCATAAACTCAGCCACATACACACATAAATAATTTTGAAAGTGTGTGAGTATTTTCCCTGCACCATTTGCTTGCCTGATGTCACAAAGGCCAGAGAAGGTTGTCAGATCCCCTGAAACTGGAGTTATAGATGCTTGTAAGCTATCAACTGAACCTGTTCTCTGGAAGAGCAGCAAGTGCTCTAAGCCAGGAGCTCTCTCTCCAGCCCCTACTCAAGTAGCCCAGACTGGTTTTGAACTCTTAGTTCCAAGAGCTAGGATTACAATCTGCTCCCCATCTCCCGCTTTAAACTGCTTTAGGTTGGACTTCTGTTTTGTTGGTTCTTGGATGGTTTGGTCTTAGATAAGAATTTGATCTTATTTCCACATCTGCCACCTCTCTTGATGTTTCCTTGGTCACGTGGCCCCATCAGCCCCTTGATAGTCTTTTGGTGGAGGACAGTGCACTTGACCACTTGCACAGTGGGTCTGTTGGTCCCTTATCCTAGGACTTTGGTCTTAAGGTTGTCATCACTTCCATGACAGACCCATCATCCTCTAGGATGTAAGGGTTCAGGCAAAAATGATGATGAGACATTTGCGCTTTCTATCTAAAGAGTTCATGGTTGTTTCAGTAATTCATTTCTCACTGGCCAGGGAGACCAACAGAGCAGCTTCATTCCTGTCCTTAAAGCAATGAAGTTAACAAAAAGGACTAGGGAGCATATTTAGTGTTGTGCTCTGGGTGTTCTGAATACCAGACAGAGGCAGACTCATGACGGCACTCAATACTGACTTAACAAATGTGTGTTTTCTGACTTATGTGCGTCTCTCTTCATATAACTGTCCGTGACTAAAATTCCCAGGTAATCTCACATTGTTTGTTTCTGCATGTAGTCGACTCTTTGGAGCTGGCCTGTCAGGCTGTGTCTGATTGACTATATAATCCAGTCTCTGTGAGACTCCATGTTCCCAGGCAGGCTGACGTGTTTCCTCAACGCTTTGTGTTTTGGTACGCCTGTGGTGTGGATGCATGCTTATTCCTGCGTGGTCTACTGCAGTTTTGCTGCATGTGTGCAGTCTGCAGCTTCACTCACCCTTTCCTGCCACACAGTTCTTTCTTTGCCTGCTGCTTCGCTAGAATCCAACTGTTCCGTGGCGAGCTCTCCGGGGATTTGGTACCTCCATGGTGCCTATGTTTGGTTCTGGATTACAAGACAACCAATTCTGTGATAAGATCTGAGGAGGATTCACCTGGTGTATGTGTGCTCCGAAAATGTGAACTTGAGTGAGACTAGACCAATTAAAATTCTACCAGAAAGCTGGTGATTTGTATTACAGTGCAGTTTTATTTCACCAAGGAACCTGAGGTGATCACACACACACACGCACACACCCTTTTTCTCCCTACATTATAAGAGAAAAAAAATTCGTCCTTTATTTAGCTATGGAAAAAGTGATTAGAGCAATAGACAATCTATTGAAGATGCTAGAATATTTGCATTTGCTGGTACCATATTTTAGTTTAAAAACATTTATTATTTTATTTTTTGTGTATGGATATTGTCTTAGTTAGGGTTTCTGTTGCTTTGACAAAACACCATGACTAAAAAACAAGTTGGGGAGGAAAGGGTTACACTTCAGCACTGTTGCAGATCATCTAAGGAAATCAGGACAGGAACTCAAGAAAGGCAAGAACTTGGCAGCAGGATCTGATGTAGAGGCCATGCAAGGGATCTGCTTACTGGCTGCTCTTCAAGGCTTGTTCAGCCTACTTTCTTATAGAACCCAGGACCACCAACTCAGGGATGGCACCGCCCACAATGGACTGGGCCCTTCCCCATCAGTCACTGATTAAGAAAATGCTTACAGTTGAATGTTAAGAGGCATCTTCTCAGATAACTCTAACTTGTGTGTCAAGGTGACATGAGAACAGCCAGCATAGTTGTTTTCCTTTTTGTTAGTTTCTTTTCTGTTGCTGTGAAGAGACACAATGACCAAAGCAGCTCCTAGGAACGGAAACATTTCATTAGGGGCTTATTACAGCTTTAGAGGGTGAGTTCATGAACTTCATGGTGGGGAGCAGACATGGCTCTGGAGTAGTAGTTGAGGACTTTACATCAAGATCTCCTGGCAACAGATTCAATGCAATGCCCATCAAAATCCAAGCAAAATTCTTCAAAGACTACGAAAGAATGGTACTCAACTTCATTTGAAAAAGCAAAAAACTCAGGATAGCCAAAACAATCCTGTACAATAAAAGAACTTCTGAGAGTCTGGTTTACCTTTATAAGTTACAATGAGGGCTGCTGAGAAGCCAAGGACAGTGGCACTGGGTTTTGATCCTACTGCATGCACAGTTTGTGGGAGCCTAGCCTGTTTGGATGCTCACCTTCCTAGACCTGGATGGAGGGGGGAGGACCTTGGACTGCCCACAGGGCAGGGAACCCTGACTACTCTTCGGACTGGAGAGGGAAGGGGAGGGGAGTGGGGGAGGGGGAGGGAAAAGGGAGGCGGGGAGGAGGCAGAAATTTTTAATAATGAAAAAAAAAAGAAAATAGAAATCACAATCCCCATACCAACAACCTTTGATTAAAATACATTTAAGGTGGAAAAAAAAAAGAAAAGAACTGCCTTTAATCCCAGCGCTTGGGAGGCAGAGGCAGGTGGATCTCTGTGAGTTCGAGACCAGCCTGGTCTACAAGAGCTAGTTCCAGGACAGGCTCCAAAACCACAGAGAAACCCTGTCTTGAAAAACCAAAAAAAAAAAAAAAAAAAAAAAAAAAAAAGAACTGGAGGCATCGCAATCCCTGACTTTGAACTCTACTACAGAGCTACAGTACTGAAAACAGCCTGGTATTGGCATAAGAACAGACAGGAGGACAAATGGAACTGAACAGAAGACCCAGATATCAATCCACACATCTTCAAAACCTGATCTTGATAAAGAAGCAAAAAATATCAAATGGAAAAAAGAAAGCATATTTAACAAGTGGTGCTGGCATAACTGGATATCAACATGTAGAAGAATGAAAATAGACCCATATCTATCACCATGCACAAAACTCAAGTCCAAATGGATCAAAGACCTCAACATAAAGCCAGCCACACTAAACCTGATAGAAGAGAAAGTGGGAAGTACACTTGAACGCATTGGCACAGGGAACCACTTCCTAAATATAACCCCAGCAGCACAGACACTGAGAGAAACAATAATTGGGACCTCCTGAAACTGAAAAGCTTCTGTAAAGCAAAGGTCATGGTCAACAAGACAAAATGACAGCCTACAGAATGAGAAAAGATCTTCAGTAACCCCACATCAGACAGAGGTCTGATCTCCAAATTATACAAAGAACTCAAGAAACTGGACACCAAAAGATCAAATGTCCAATAAAAAAAAATGGAGTGGTGGCGCACGCCTTTAATCCCAGCACTCGGGAGGCAGAGGCAGGCGGATCTCTGTGAGTTCGAGACCAGCCTGGTCTACAAGAGCTAGTTCTAGGACAGGCTCCAAAACCACAGAGAAACCCTGTCTCGAAAAACCAAAAAAAAAAAAAAAAAAAAAAAAATGGAGTACAGACCTAAACAGAGAACTCTCAACAGAGCAATCTAAAATGGCTGAAAGACATTTAAGGAAATGCTCAACATACTTTGTTATCAGAGAAATGCAAATCAAAACAACTCTGAGATTCCATCTTACACATGTAAGAATGGCCAAGATCAAAAACACTGATGACAACTTATGCTGGACAGGTTGGGGAAAAGGGAACACTTCTGCATTGCTGGTAGGAATGCAAGCTGGTACAACCCCTTTGGATGTCAGTGTGGCGATTTCTCAGAAAATTAGGAAACAAGTTTTCTCAAGACCCAGCAATACCACTTTTGGGTATATATCCAAAGGATGCTCAATCGTGCCACAAGGACATGTGCTCAACTATGTTCATAGCAGTTTTGTTTGTCATAGTCAGAACCTGGAAACAACCTAAATGCCTCTTGATCAAAGAATGGATAAGAAAAATGTGGTACACAGCAGAAAAAAATAACAACAGCTTGAATTTTGCAGGAAAATGGATGGAGCTAGAAAACATTATTTTGAGTGAAGTAAGCCAGACACAGAAAGACAATTATCACATGTACTCACTCAGGTGGTTTTTAAACATAAAGCAAAGCAAGCCAGCCTACAAACCACAATCCCAAAGAACTTAGACAACAATATGGACACTAAGAGAGACTTACATAGATCTAATCTACATGAGAAGTAGAAAGTAGAAAAAGACAAGATCTTCTGAATAAATTGGGAGCATGGGGACCTTGGGGGAGGGCTAAAGGGGGAGGGGAGAGGCAGGGAGGAGAGCAGAGAAAAATGTAGAGCTCAATAAATATCAATAATAGAAAAAAAAGGTCTCCTGGCAACAAGCAGCGGATGGGACTGGAGTTGACTTTTGAAACCTCAAACCCCAGTGACACACACTCTCCAAATCCACACCTTTTATTCAATCCCAAATAGTTTCACTAACTGTGGACTAAACATTCAAATATATGAACCTATGAGGGTCATTCTCTTTCAAACCACTATAGCCTGCATGTACATCTGTGCACCACTTTAATGCCTGGTACCCACAGAAGCCAGAAGAGTTCTGGGAATGAACCCATCTTCTGGAAGAGCAGCTAGTGTTCTTAACTGGGCCATATCTCCAGCTTCTGGCACCGTATTTTTAAGATGTAAATGTAAAGCTAATCACAGTAACTTATCTGTAATCCAGAATTCTACTACAAGATGAGAGGGGGAGACAGACAAACCTCCCAAAGCTTGTGGGCAAGACAGCCTAGTGTATAGTCAGTGAAAGAACCTGGCTCAACATGGTGGAGGGAGAAGGCTGAATCAGAGATTGTCTTTGACTTCCATACATGCACCGAGGCAGGCTTGTGCTCACACTCTATATACACATTTTATGCACACACACGCCAAGATAAAAATAAAAAAAAAAAAGAATCCATGTCTTGGCATTTAGGGGAGAGTTTTTAATGGGACCTTTTGCTGCTTGACCATGACCTTGTAGGTATTGGCCCATAATTCTGTGTTTGCCCTGGTGGTGGCTTTGGTTCTACTTTGCTCTTGCTTGTAAAACCTTTTAGTGGTGTTGAAAGGTTAACAATGGTCATTAGGGCATTTTTGGTTGACTTAGCCTTAGAACCACTTGTTCATATTTTGTTCATTGATTAAACAGCAGCTGTTGAGAAGCTGGTAAATATTTTAAACTAAACACAGTCTGTGTTATAGGCTTGAAAAGCTAGTTGGGAATGGCAGCTCGCTGAGAAGCATGAATGACTTGAAAAGAAATAAAGTTTACAAAGGGTGGGGAGTGTGGCTACCCAGGATAGCATGACAGTTATGTGTGTAAATAAGCTAATTCAGAACTAAAGTACTCTCATTTCTGCTCTAGAATTCCTGATCAAAGTAAACCTATGAAATGAATAGTCTAATTTAGGCACTTATAGTTAGTGCTACATCAGTAATTTTCTGAATACTTAGAGCAAGAGTCATATGCATGTTGCAAGGTCTGTGTGTTAATGGCCATTTTAACTAACACCCAGAGACGGGTCTGTACTCTGGGGTATGACCGTCTCTCAAGTCAATAGTCCTTTACATACGACAGAACCACTTCTTTTTACTTCTCCAAGTCATATAATTCCCAGTGAAAAATGAGAGATATTCCTAAATTCATTTTTATTTATTTAATTTTTATTACATTAAAATTTTAATTTTGTATTCTCTGTGTATATATGTGTGTTGCTGAGGTGTGTCTGTGGAGGTCAGACCCAGTTGTGAGAGTTGGTTCCTTCTTACTCGTATGGATCTCTGATCAAATTCAGGTTGTCAGGCTTGGCATCTGTCTGGTACCTTTAACCCGCCAAGCCATCTTACTTTCCCTGTTTTTCTTAATTAGAAATTTGTGTGTGTGTGTGTGTGTGTGTCTGTGCACACTTGCACAGGTGGCAGTCAGAGGACAACTTGCAAAAGTTAGCCTTCGGTCATGTGAGTCCGAGTGTTGAGCTTAGATTGTCAGTTTTGACCACCGGTACGAGCCTCAGATTTTGTTTTAGAAAGTAATTCTTTTGTAATGTCTTGCCTGCATATATGTATATATGTGTACCACATGTGTGCCTAGTGCCTGAGGAGGTCAGAATAGGGCATTAAATCTCCCGGAATAGGGTGGTTGTGAGAAACCATGTGGGTTCTGGGAACCTAACCTGGGTCCTCTGCAAGAGCCATAAGTGCTCTTCACCTTGGAGTCATCTCTACAGCTTCCAATAAATAATTCTTAATTAGAAGTGGATTTTGCTCTTTAGCTCAAAGCCCATGTGAGGCATGGCAGTTAATATTTGAGAAAACAGCGAGAGCTGTTCGTGTGTGTTCTTAACAAAGACAGTAACGGGGCATCCTTTTGCCGTTTAGGACCTGAACCAGTTTAAGGAGATGACAACATGTGTCTTCCCCAGGTAAGCCTTCTTTAAGAGCCCCTTGACATTTGAGATACTCACTGAGGTATATGCTACACGAGCGGGCAGTTCCTCCAAGCTAGGAAGGGATTTAATGGCTTAGACATCCCCCACTTTCCATTATTGACTGATTAAGTTTATGAGTAGTGTGATCATCCATTAAAGATCAGATTCTAGCTTAGAGTGAAAGTAGAAAGTAGCTGATGTCTCCCTTTTTCCTGTCCTGCATTCTGCTGTCTGAAGGACTGGTGAAGGGTCCTGACACGGGTCTGGCCATTCACACATGTGCGACGTGTTCCAACTGAGAGTTCTTTCTCCTCAGTTAAGAACTGTATGGCTAGAGACCCTCCTACCTACACTGATATGAAGTTCATCAGAGCCAGTATTGTTAGTGTTTGGCTATGTCATATGTCACATGTATGATCAAACACATGACAGGTGCATGGAGCTTATGCGGTAAGAAGGACAAGTGAGGGTAGCCAACTAGTCTTACTTTCAACTGGGATATTGCTGTCCTAGCCACAGTGTTTATATTTATTTGGAAATAGATTTAGACACAATCCTCCCTCCCTCCCTCCCTCCCTCCCCTCCTCCCTCCCTGTTTTTTGAGACAGTTTCTCTGTAAAACGATCCCTGCTGTTTCTTTATTTTTGTTTGTTTGTTTATTTATTTATTTGTTTTTGAGATAGGGTTTCTGGGTGAAACAGTCTTGGCTGTTCTGGAACTCACTCTGTACACCAGGATGGCCTTGAACACAGAGATTTGGCTGCCTCTCTAGTGCTGGGATTAAAAGCTTGCACCACCACCGCCCAGGAGATTTAGACAGAATTTTTTAAAAGACTTATTTATTTAGTATGTATTCAGTGTCTGCCTACATGTATGCTTTCATTCCAGAAGAGGGCACCAGATCTCATTACAGATGGTTTTTGGACAGGACAGTTTTTGGAGCCTGTCCTGGAACTAGCTCTTGTAGACCAGGCTGGTCTCGAACTCACAGAGATCCGCCTGCCTCTGCCTCCCAAGTGCTGGGATTAAAGGCGTGCGCCCCCACCGCCCGGCTCTTTGACAGAATTTTTATGTGGTCAATCTCTTCCCTAGTATTTCTGGTTCCTGTAATAGAATAGTTAAGTGCTCTACTTTTTCTCATTGCTGTGATAGAATACTTGAGAATATCAGCTCACAGGAGGAAAAATCTAGTGTAGCTCACAGTTTGAGGGTGCAGCCTGCTGTGGTGGGAAGGGATGGTGAGCTCAAGGAGTCTACTCCTCACACCCACAGGTCAGGGATACCGCAGCACTTATCTGGCTTTCCCTCCTTCTTTTTTTTTTTTTAATATTTTATATATTTATTATGTATACAATATTCTGTCTGTGTGTGCCTGCAGGCCAGAAGAGGGCATCAGATCTCATTTCAGATGGTTGTGAGCCACCAGGTGGTTGCTGGGAATTGAACTCAGGACCTTTGGAAGAGCAGGCAATGCTCTTAACCACTGAGCCATCTCTCCAGCCCCCCCTTTCCCTCCTTCTTTACCACTGTGTGTGTGTGTGTGTGTGTGTGTGTGTGTGTGTAAACTTCTCAGAGGTCCTTAGGTGATTCCAAATTCAGCCATTTTGGCAGTGGAGCTTAGCTGGCACAGTAGGAAGTAGCAGGGAACTTCCCAATGTGGATTTTGGCCCCATAAGAATTCAGACTGTGTAACCCAGGTGGTAGTGGTGGGTGGTGGCTGTTTGGGAGGGGCAGACCACGTAGAATGGGAAAACGGACAGTGTTTGTCTGACCTTTAAGATGGATGCTAGCCTCATTCCTCCAGGTACAGGAGTGGAACCTGTTCCTTTGGCAAGTATATGGAAAACGGACAGCAGTTGGATGAATGAAGCCAGCACATGGGACTGTGTCCTTAGCTCATTAACCACATTACTGCTAGATTCACACTGGCCAGTGTGTGTGCGTCATCTATCCACTTTTAAGTATGAATGAATTGTGTGATTTTTCAGTATATCATATATGAAATATATGTTACATGTGTATTTTATTTATGAAACATTTTAAGTATTTTTATGTTTTAATAAAGTACATTTGAAATAATGCTATATATTTTATTTACCTTATTAAAATTTATTTTGTTTCCAGACTCTTGGATACTAAACTGATGGCCAGCACACAGCCTTTTAAGGTATTATTTCAATCTGAACTATCATTCATAAGAAATAATTTGAATTTTTTGTTTATTTAAGACAGAATCTTGGTATGCTGAGGCTGGCCTTAAACTCACCCTGTAGGTGAGAGTAGTTACCTGAATTCTTGTTTCTCCTGCCTCTACTTCCCGTGTGCTAGGATGCAGACATGTGGCACCATGCACTTTTTGAAACTTTTTTGCATTACCACTAATAACTTTGGAATTCTGGTCTTTTAAAGTGTTATTTCAGACATAATAAAAAATAAAAAAGGAAGAAGAGAGACATTGGAAAAGCCCAGAAATAAATATATCAAAATATGAAGTTATCTTTATTTTTCCTCTTTTTGAGTGTAAGTTTTTGAATGTTAAAATATATAATTTTTGTTTTTTTATTTATTTTTGTTTTTTAGTACAGGCTTACTCTTTAGCCCAAGTTAACTCTATAGTCCTCCCCCTGTCAGCTTCCTCAGTGTTGGGGTGACAAGTGTGTGCCACCACACAGTTGTGACTTACGTATAATTATATATAATATGTAAGCACACACATACGTACATACATGTTTTTGAGAAAGGGTTTTTCCATGTTACAGTCCTGTCTGTCTTGGAACTTGTTTTGTAGACCAGGCTGCACTCGAACTCATAGAGATCCTTCTGACTCTGCCTCCCGAGTGCTGGGATTGAAAGCAGGAACCATTACACCTGCCTTGTAGTCTATGTTTTTTAATTGGTTTTACATGCAGCCAATTTGTCCTTTCTCTACCTGTCTCATTTTACATATTTGGACATATTTTCTAATAAAGATAAGTTAATGTATGATCATTTATAGCTTGTGAAGGACCTTCTGCAGCCTCTGGAGCAGTATGCCGGGACAGTGCCTTCCAGCTCTGTGTCCCTGCCAGCAGTCCTGGACATTAAGAACTTGCTGTAGCCTTCAAGCAGTGCACTAGGGCAGTACTGCCAAAGTTGTGTCATCCCCATGCCCCCACACCCCCAGCAAACCTGGAAGCTTGCTTTTTCTTCCCCTTCCACAGTTTTTTCTTAGTTTTGCTTCAGTAAAAACCAGGTTGGCCTTCCAATCTCCATCCTGCTGCCTCAGCCTCCCAAGTAGCAGATTAGAGGTGAGCACCACTAGGCCTGCACATGTTTGCAGTTTTAACACAGTGTCATTATTCTTGTCTGTACAGTGAACCTTGAACTTGCTGGTGTGCTTTTTTTTCATGTGGAATAAGCAGTGACTTCTGTCCTTTAGGACACAAGAGGGCAGTATGGGATGCTTTTTCTTCTGTGTACCCTGAAATGACTCTCCTTAATCTCTCTCACTCTCAGATGAGATACCCTAACTCTCCACCTTCTGCCTTGCAGGATATCATTAACAACACATCCCTTGCAGAGCTGGAAAAGCGCTTAAAAGAGACACCCTTTGACCCTCCTAAAGTTGGTAAGAATATTAATCATGAAAACCTTCAAACTCTGGAAATTACCAATATGTTCTGTGCAAACAATGTGATCCATCTCTGAAATATTGTGTTATTTGTAGGGTGTGGCTGGTTAAGGTTCATGCCTGTGGCAGTTTTCTGAATAAAGATGGTGTCCTAATTCCACATCTAGCTCCATCTACATCATGTCAATAGAGTTGGGTAGGGATTCACTGAGAAGTTTCAAGACTTTTATTTCCTAATGCTTGGAGTTCTCCCAAAACTTGATGTGTCCTTTCAGATGGTGTATGTTTGAGCAGAGAGAGAGTCAGTAACTAATAATCAGAAACACAACAGCACCTCCTGTCCCAGAAAACTTAGAGCTGGGGTGCTGTGAGACAAGAGCGTATCCCCGTGTCCTCAGAGGCCAGGAGGAGCCCTTGGTGTCAGATGGGTTGTGTGCATATGTGTGGCCCCCAACCCGTGCTCTGGGGCACTGTGTCCGTGTCCTGTTACCCCATTGTGCAGCTGCCACAGCATTCCATTAGCTAAAGACGATGATAACCACGCTAATGATTCAGAAATTGGTGATGGAAGGTGTTAGAGTGGACAGAGTCATAGTATTTGCTTCCCTTCTGGGTATAGTCCAAGAAAGGAAGTACAACAATGCTGGGTGGATAGAGGGAAAGAAACCCATGTATAATAGCGTAATGGAATAATTGGTTTGGGGAGTGATGAGCTTCAGCAGGTGATGTTGAACATTTTACTTAAGTGCTGCAGTGTTAAAAGGCTTTCTTTGGAAGTGTCAAGCCCAATATTTAGTTCATAAGGACGTTAAGAAGTTCTTGCATAAGAGTATTTTATTGGTATGAAAATGTTCCAGCCGTTCTATCAGCAGTTTCCACTCATGCTTCTGATGTCCTAACATTCATTTCCAGATTAATTCTAGGAAATAATTACTTACAAGTAAGGGCTGTATCCTGTCCTATTGTTTTCATATTTCTTTAGTAGAAAATTTACTCAGAAGTCGATTAGTCTCTTTCATTCTCTCAGCACCTGTGTGTATCAGTAGAATCAGTATTATCTTATAAAATGATTCTTGTAGTGCAGTAGGCCCGTGAACTAAGGCTGGTGTTACAGCAGTTCTAATCTATTTTGGGTGGGGAGTATGCTGTTGTCTCTAAATTGCTAAGCTTGGGAACAGTCCAGGGCCCCTCCAGTATTCAGGTAAACTCTGGGGTTTTATGGGGACTACTTGGGATACTAATGGTTATGTGCATGAGGCATGTGCCAAGCACTAGATGAGATCTTTAGCAGTACCTTGACATTGGATGTTCCCCAAAAGCCTTATGGGGGAAGGTTGATTATCATCTCCTTACAAAATTGGGGGCTCAGAGATGAAGTGCCTTGCCCCAGGGTAACATTGCATATGCCTCAGATTCAGAGAGACACTGTATGACCTCTCAATCCTACTGGGATTTTATTAGTTTATTGTTTGTTTATTTATTTTTGAAGACAGGGTCTTACTTTGTAGCCAGGGTTGGACTAGAACTCACTATTTAGCCTAGGCTAGCCTCAAACTTGCTGTGGTTCTTCTGCCTCAGCTTCTCAAGTGCAGAGATTACAGGTGTGACCACCATGCTCGATTTGGAGTTCTGCTTAATCTGCTGTATCCTGCAAGTGTGCAAGAGTAGCACAGTAGGATTGTCGCAGGATGGGAAACAAATTGCAGGTGACTCTAGCCAGTGTAGCTGAGGAGGCCTACAGCTGAACCTCGGTAAGGAAACAGGCCTTTTTCTGGTCTGAACTGAAATTGTTGTTGTCAGGGTGTTTGCTATTTTGTATTGTGAGGTCTTACATGGACAGAACTGAGAAATAAGACAAGTTTCCTTGTGCCTTCCAGCCACATCTGCAACTGCAGCACACAAGAATGCATCTGAATTTGGCAGGACACCATGCTTACTAGTTAGTCAGTCTGTCTTTCTTTCTCTCTCTCTCTCTCTCTCTCTCTCTCTCTTCTTCTCCTTCTTCTTCTCCTTCTTCTTCTTCTTCTTCTTCTTCTTCTTCTTCTTATTATTATTATTATTATTATTATTTGATTCTTTTTGAGTCAGGGTCTTTCTGTGTAACTTTGGAGTCTGTCCTGTAACTCACTCTGTAGACCAGGCTGGCTTTGAACTCACAGAGATGCACCTCCCTCTGCCTCCCGAGTGCTAGGAGTGCTGGGATCACAGGCGCCACCACCACACGGCACGTACTAGTTTTCATGTTTGCTAGTACACTGGGGAATATTGATGATTCCTTTTTTTCTCTCTAGAAAGCGCAGAAGGCTTTCCGAGCTACAACACTGCTTCTGAGCAGCTCCATGAGGCAGGGTATGATGCTTACATCACAGGACTCTGCTTCATCTCCATGGCAAATTACCTAGGTACTTGAGATATGTTTCTGTTAAACAGAGTGAGTCTTGCCTGTTTCGTGTGACAAATTTCCAAAGACTAGGCCTAGATAACAGACCTGTGTTTCTCATGGCTCTGGAGAGTAGTAAGCCTGTCCCAGACACAAGCTTCCCAACATTTGACACTCCCGGGTGCTAGTTAGAGGAAGCACCCATACTCTCGTGAGGGAACCAGTTCCCCTACTTGCCTCCAAATAGCTCATTTATGGATACCATTGTTTGGGATTTGACTTCCATGTGGGAGTGGGGAAGGGACGACGACCGTCTGTGCATCACAGATTGTCCTAGGATCTGACCACCCTTATAGAAGCAGGAAGGTTTTGAGGGGAGCTGGAGGAGATGAGGAGGGGACACAGGAAGGGACTGCTGACACTTGCCTGTGTAGGTGTGTGGACCAGAAGAGTAACTGTTACCCTCACTGAATGTACCACACTGAGCTTCTGCTGTTTGACCACGCACTGTGTATAACACCATGCTTTTCTTCACTAGGTTCTTTACTTGGGCCTTCAAAAGTGTGTGTGTCTGCCAGATCAAAACTCATTGAACCCTTTTTTAACAAGTAAGTAATCAGAGGGTTACAACTCTGCTTCTCACACTCTGACAAGCTCCGTGTCTTGGGAGACAGGAAACTAGGGTACATTTTTATTAAATATTTCTTATCTTTAGTAGCACAGATAGTTTTTGAGAGTAGAAATTGACCTTTTGGGAAATAATTTCTTAAATATACTGGCTTAAAGAAACTAAAGAGGCTGGGCATGGCACCCCTTTAATCCCAGCACTTGGGAGGCAGGGCAGGTGGATCTCTGAGTTCTGGGCCAGCCTGGTCTACAGGGTGAGTTTCAGGCCACCCAAGGCTACACAGGGAGACCCTTTCTTAAAAAAACCCAAAAAACTAAAGAAAACATTACTGGGGCTGGAGAAGATGGCTCAGCGGTTAAGAACACTGCCTGCTCTTCCAAAGGTCCTGAGTTCAGTTCTCAGCAACCACATGGTGGCTCACAACCATCTGTAATGAGGTCTGCTGCCCTCTTCTGGCCTGTAGGCATATACGCAGACAGAATATTGTATACATAATAAATAAATACTAAAAAAAAATTTAAAAAAAGAAAACATTACTAATGATAGTGTATCTCTTCCAAGAAAAAAAAAGATGGCAGTTTTAGCATTTAAATTACCTTCAAGGGATACTTGTGTTTATAGCTGAACCTACCCTCTAGTGAACTTTACATATGACATTATTATTTATTTGTATTTGTCTTATTAACTGATTACATGTTATTTCTAAGGAAATGTCTGATAAATGGGTATGCTACTCTATGAAGTCTTGATTGTCATTGCATGCTCTTTGGCTCTCTGTTTATCTCTTTTTTATTTTATGGTGTTGAGAATTGAACCCATGGTCCCATGCATGCCAGGGAAATGCTCTGCTATTGATCTCATCTAGGGATGAAAAAGCTTTTCCTACATATGCATTGATTTCTGAAGAAGTCTCAGGGATTGTTATTTCAGACTCTGCCTTGTGCTTGCTTGGCAAGTCTGTGACTAAAGTTAGGATGTGACTCTTGGGCAGCCATGTCTGCTGTGGGCCGCAGCCTCAGCCTTTGTCTGAGGAGTTGGTGCTAGAGTCGGGCGGAATGAGGCAGCTCACATCTGTCATTGTGAGAAACAGCCATGTCAGTGTCGGTGCGTTCATCTCCTTCCCTAATGCACAGCACGTTAGATTGTATCGTGGTTTCACCAGGTGGGACACTGTTTCCTTGGGTTATCTGTGTCAATGATAGTTGACAGTTCTGTGCTTAGTGTACTGTAGAGGCAGCTGCCATTTCCAGCGTCTAGACTCTTCCAGCCTGGTATTTCTGAGCTGCTGAGCTTCATTTCCTTTATCTTCTTCTTTTCTCATTCTCTTTCTTCTTCTATTTAATTTTGCATGTGAGTGTTTTTTGGGGGGAGGGGTTTCGAGACAGGGTTTCTCTGTAGCTTTGGGGCCTGTCCTGGAACTAGCTCTTGTAGATCAGGCTGGCCTGGAACTCACAGAGATCCACCTCCCTCTGCCTCCCGAGTGCTGGGATTAAAGGCGTGCGCCACCACTGCCCAGCTGCGTGTGAGTGTCTTGCCTGTGTGTATGTTTGTTTGCTATGTGTGTACTTGGTACCTACAGAGTCTGAGAGAAGGAGTCAGATGTCCTGGAAATGAAGTTACAGGTAGTTGTGAGCTGCTATGTAGCTACTGGGAATTGAACCTGGGTCCTCTGGAAAAGCAGTCAGTGCTCTTAACTGCTGAGCCATCTCTTCAGTTCCTCTTTGTTCTATTTTTGTTGTTATTTTATTTGGAAGTTCAGAGGAAATATGTAGGAAGTTGATGGCCTTTTCAAAAGTAGGCTAGTTACTAGTGTGATGTATATTGGAAATTAAGTTGAATTTTTTTGTAAAGAAAATGATTTGTGCCCGAGTCTTTGATGTCTGTCTAGTTCAATAAGAGCAGAAAGAGTGAAAAATCATTTTCTTAGCTTTTACCTCTTATTTTAGAGCAGTATTTATCTTTGTATTTCTTCTGAAATCTGTGCCACTGGCGACAATAAATGTGGTTTAAGTTTTGGTCATTCCTTACATTTTTTTTTTTTTTTTTTTTTTTTTTTTTTTTTTTTTTTTTTTTTTTTTAAATATTTATTTATTTATTTATTTATTATGTATACAATGTTCTGTCTGTGTGTACGTCTGCAGGCCAGAAGAGGGCACCAGACCTCATTACAGATGGTTGTGAGCCACCATGTGGTTGCTGGGAATTGAACTCAGGACCTTTGGAAGAGCAGGCAATGCTCTTAACCACTGAGCCATCTCTCCAGCCCCCCTTACATTTTTATGTACATGATATTGCTTTCATTGTTCTACATATTTTTCAACTTAGAAATGTTTAGTTTCTGCAGATGTTTGGAGCAGCAGTTTTGTAATTCCTTACAAAGTCGGGTCTGATGTATACTGACCGGGTCAGATGGAGATGGCATCTAGCTTCTGATCACGTGTGTACCTACAGAATAGGCCAGCTTGCTCAAGAGCTTTTCTACAAGAATGGGTTGCAAATGCGCTGCAGCCTTCTGATCTAGAAGAACGTGACAGAGCTGTTGTGCTCATGCCTGGGATCCAGTTCTTGGGAGACTTGAGTCTCAGTCTAGAACTGGCTGCAAAGTAAGTTCTAGGCCTGTCTAAGCTGCACTGTGAAACCATCTCCAACAAAAGCAGAGAAAGAAGAGGCTGGGCAGTAAATATGTAAGGCTTCCTTCAGCATGAGAACATCTGTCCATTTAGAGGTTTTCTTTTTTTGGGGGGGGGGGGTTTACGAGACAGGGTTTCTCTGTAGCTTTGGAGCTTGTCCTAGAACTAGCTCTTGTAGACTAGGTTGGTCTCAAACTCAGAGATCCACCTGCTTCTGCCTCCCGAGTGCTGGGATTAAGGCGTAGAGTTTTTGTTTTTGAGGAGCTAAAATCTAAATACTTAGCAAAACAGTGAACAAGGGCATAAGGTCAGGAATCCTCCTAGGATTCTCTTAAAAATTGACTTTTGGTTTGTTTTTTTCTTATTTGTAAAAGAAAAACATACTTTTCTTATTTTTGAAGAGAAAACTCTGTGGTTTTTCTGTTCTGTGCTGTAGTGTCCTCTTGGTCCAACACAGTCGGGTTTTCCAAGGCCTCTCCAGTGGAGACTACTGCTCCTGACATATCCTCCTTCTAGCACTGACCTTGCTCTTACAGGTCTGACTTATCACACGGGACCTTGAGTTTTGTCAAGTTATCTTTTTAAGTTTTCGTTTAAACATCTAACATTGGCCCACAACACTATCTCAATTAATGGTGTCAGAAAAATACGATTTTTCTGAAGGTCAGCTTATTTCATTATTGTTTTTTTTTCTTCTTTTGAAACAGTTTCTGCTAACTGTGTAGCTAAAGGAGACCTTGAACTTGTAATCCTCTTGTCTTCCTCTCCCAGGGCAATTAGTTTCTATAGCAGTTTTTCTAATGTAGCTTCACCACAGTCATAAGATCTGACGAGCTTCCCTCAGACACACACAAGCAGTGTTTTGTTTGCTTCCATCGGATTTCTGCTTTAAAGGTAGAGTTTAAGGCGGCTGTTGGCGATAGCTCAGTAGGTTAAGGCAGTTGACACAACTCTGGCAACCTGAGTCTGCTTCCTGGAACCCGTGTGAAGGTTGAGTGAGAGATCCATTGCACAAAGTTGTTCTCTGACTTCCACACACATGCTGTGACATGTGCACATATAATGATAACTATGCATAAAGCTTTCTGAAAGAAGAAAAAGATAAACTTTGAGCAAAAATAAATTCATAGTTTCATTTAAAAATTTGTGTGCAGTGTGTGTGTGTGTGTGGAGAGAGCATGTGCATGTGGCCACTCACACTGGAGATTGAACCCTGTGTCTCATGTATGCTACATCTACACTCCAGTTTATAAAGTTTAATATACATGTGAACATGTGCGTGTCAAAGAGTCAGAGAGGCTGGGTGGTGGTGGCACACGCCTTTGATCCCAGCACTCAGGAGGCAGAGGCTGGCAGATCTCTGTGTGTTCATGGCCAACTTGGTCTACAGAGCGCGTGCCAGGGCAGACAGGACTACACAGAGCAACCCTGTCTTGGGAAAAAAAAGAGTCAAAGAGAATTGAGCATGGCAGTGAGGCTCCTGGCTGCTCTTGCCCTGCACTGGCAGTGCCCTGTTGTTTGTGTGGGACTCTCTGGTCAGGAAATGATCTACTGTCTTAATAACCTTGGTCTATTTCAATCACGGCCTGGAACGCCAGACAGAGAAGAAACTTTGACCCAACCCTTTGGGGCTGGAAAGAGATAAAAGTACTCTCTGCTTTTACTTTTATTGAACCATAGAAAGCAAAGTGTGACTTTGCCTTACATTTATTAACAGCTATCTGTCTCTGCAAACCACCTTTAAATCTCTGTAGATGACCTTTTATGAAGGTTTAGGAAAGGAGAGATTCCATCTCTACTCACTGCCTCCTACTCTGCCCTTAAGAGAGATGCAGCTGTGGTAGGAAGATGGGTTTTAATAACAGGGAAATGTTCGTTACCTGTGGACACAGGCTGGAGTACAGAGCTGCAGGTGTGAAGCAGGTGTCCCCTTTCGCACATTCTGCTTCCAAGTGTTACGGGCTTATGAAAGAAAACTCGGGAAGGTGGTGTCAGCCTGGTGCTTGGAAGCACAAGCACTTTGGATTGGGGCAGTTCCAGACGCTGTGCCACTCAGCTGACTGATGTTGCGACAGCGTGTGGGCTGCAGGTGGAGAGGGGAAGTCCCCCAGATGAAACACACCACAGAGTCTTTCCAGGAACTCTCTATGTAGATCAGGCTGGCCTTTAACTCACACAGATCCTTTTTCTTCTGCCTCCCGAGTGCTGGATAAAGGCACGTGCCACCGTGTCCCACTTCATCACAGTGATTTTTACTTTGAAGGATACAGAAAACAATAGTAAGGAACAGAGCCCAGCTCCTGGCTCTGCTCTAAGTGCGGCATGCATACAGTCAGGGCTGCTAGTGTGC